CTGTCACTGAGCACCATCTTTTGGGTGAGACGTTAAATCGAGGTCCTGACTCTCTGTGGTCATTACAAATCACATGGCACTTCTCGTAATGAGGAGTGTAACCTTGGTGTCCTGGCCAAATTCCCTTCATCAGCCCTTACACATCATGACCTCCCAATCACCCCCATCCACCAAATTGGCTCTGTCACTGTCTCTCCACTCCCCTGGTGTGTGGTGAGCGCACTGGCGCTGTTGTTCTGTGGCTGCCATTGCACAACCACGTGGAAGCTTCTTACTTTTTGGAAAAACACTTTGTAATTCCGAGTGTGCTCCACATAGGTGAGTTGGCTTGATCAACCACCTATAGTACACACTGTATTTTCCTTTCTGAATGCTTAAAAAAGGAGGAAAAAAAAACTTATTAATTTTTACTAACTTAGACTTGTAACATTAATACTACTCTCTAATGATTTGTAGCAATCTTTTTTTCTCGTTTGTAAGTCGCTTAAGATGAACGTGTCTGCCAACTTAATGACTGTAAATGTACCATTGTAATAAGAGTTTGATGTTGTGAGTATAGCTAATTTTTTTGCAAATGCAAAATACATGGAGTAAACTGAATTAATTTGTTAAGATAGTACTTGGCCTTGGATGGGCTGCTCAGATGATTGCAAATATGGTCACTTGGTGAACATGAAGAGGAAAGATACTGATTTACAGAAAACTAAACTCTCATTCAGTTATAGCCAAAAACCTTGTCAGGCATATTTAAGTTTCAACCTCAGACGGCACACTTTCAGACAGCTTGCTTTGCAACTAAATACAGTACACAAAATTGGATTCACTTCAGAAGTTTGGAATCCTCATGTGGATGATCTCTACAGCATTTCCATAACACATAAGACATCTGGAAACAAAGCCATCATGACAGCAACCCTCTTCATATAATAATAATAATAATAATAATACATTTTATTTGTATAGCACTTTTCCTACATGCAACTCAACATGCAAGAAGTTATTATTTTTTATAACAGTGACAATCAGCATTTTCCCTGAACAACTTATCAGTTATTTTTTTCAAAAGCAAATTTATATTTAATCATTTTGCAGGCTCTTTTGTTCAAACAGCTTTTAATTATTTGTGCACATGACAACTTAATTATTTATGTTATGGTTTGTAGAGTGATGAGGCAAGGACCCAAATGCAAAGACCATTTAAGCTTTCTTAATTGCTAAAAGAAACAAAAGGAAACTCAAACTACCCCTTGGGGAAAAACAGACACTGACAAGGCAAGGCTTAAACAAGATCAAGGGAGAAACTTTCAACATGGGAAAGACAATGGATCAGCACAAAACAAAGAACACAGAGAGGATAAATAAGCAGAGCAAACCAATCAAGGTATAAAGGAGGATAGTTGGATTAAATGGATCAATAAGCGGGTATAACACTATGCTAGAGTACACATGGCACATATAAAGAAAACTAAGCTATGCACTGAAAAAAATAATTCATTGGATGAACTCAATTTTATTGGGGGAAGGATTTCCATCGAATAAATTTCTTTAGCACCAACTAAAAAACAATTTACATAATTACGTACAATCGAGTTGGTCCAACAAAGTGAATATGTGTCCTACATTTCAAAGTCTTAAATTTTTTTTTTTTTTAAGTTATACTAAAATTACTAAAATAAGCATTTTTATGGGTGCTTCTGCAAGGCAGTAATCTCAAAATTCAAAGCATTACATGAAACACTTCTAAATCTTCAAACAAGTCTTTCTATTAACTTTAAACAACTAAGATTACTTTTATTGTCAACATGTCCCTGGGAACTACAAATCCCCTAACCAGGTAGTTGGATCAAAATAATTCCCTTATCTTGTCCCAACACAAAATGCTAAAGTTAACTCATTGGTTTACAAATTGAAGTGGACTGAACATTTAACAAATAAATTGGTCACAAAATTGCAAGAATTTTGTTGTTTCAGCTTATTTTAAACAGGTAGTTTGAACAAGCAGCAGTAATCTATTTTTTGAGTGTGTGCTCACACAAAACATGACATCAAAACACAAGAAGTGGCAAATGTTTTTACCCACATAAGTTTTATCGATGTTTCGAGTTTATGGAACTTAAGACGGTGGGTTGGTTTCAGTTGGGTTTCATCTCCATGGTAATCTAGGCTACATGGCTAACCTACTTTGGACCAGGTTTTATTCTTGGTTTGATATTGTAAACCCAAACTGGACCAGTCAGCTGTGAGAAAAGTGACATTCATATTTGATGGAATAAAGCCGCTTGCAGTCTGATATAGCATTTGCTGTTTCTGATATAGCAACAGAGAAGGTTCATATCAAGCATTGTGAATACACTTAACCGGATCTTAGCCAAGCTGGATTAGTTTATTTTTGTCAACCCAAAGCTTACTCTACAACCCAGATTTTGTGCTAAAATCATAGAAAGATGTTAGTTCTAGGTTTGCTTTTCTTTTCTTTTACCAGAGGCTTTTAACCAAAGCAATTTTAAATAAGAAAGGCATCAATTTACTCATATTAATTTAAAGTTTCTGACAAAAATAAAAGTAGGGAAGGAGTGGGAAGCTGTTTTTTTTTTTTTATAAAAATGCTAAAAGTAAAGATAATTTTTCAGTTACCAGTTAATTGCAGTGATATAACAATATGTAGGAAACATAAAGTATAAGTTCTAGAAATTGATTTTTTGAGCTTTTCTGTGACCATGAGACAGCGTTGATTTATAGACCAGAGGTTTAGGATGGAGCGTATAAGAAAGAGTTGAAATAGCAGATTACAGAGCCTGTGGGTAATATGGAAACATCAAAGCTTCAAACTTGATGCAAACTTCAACCAGTTGCCAGTTCAAGGAGATAAACGGGTGTGATATGGGCTCTCAGAGCAGTTGCAGGGAGAACAAGAAGCTCTGTTTTTCCTAAATTGAGCTGCTGGTGGTAATGTTTATTCCATACTGAGATGTCTTTCAGGAGCTGTGCAGCTACTTTTGGATCATCTGGTTTAAAAGAAAATTTTGCATAACAGTAGGGGAGGAGAGAGGGGTCCCAGAAATTATCCCTGCCCCCCATTAGCTGGTTTTTTGAATACATCTCTCCTCAAGTCAACCCTGAAACATCTACTGGTGAGACTCAAACCAGCCAAGGGGAGTTATGTAATGCCCAAGAGAGTATACAGAAAAAACTGATAATTAACTGTATAAGAGGCAGCAGACATGTCCAGTAGAAGCAGAACTGATAAAACCTGCTTTGGCAATCTGCGGTGCTTCAGTGAATAATTCTGTCCCAGTGGAATGGCCACTTTTGATGTCTGATTGCTTAATGTTCAGCAGGTTATTGTGAAAGAAATGTTGAAGCCTGGTGGAAAACAACTCTTTCCACTGTTTTGGCTTTGAAAGGGAGCAGGGAGACTGAGAGAGGTCTGTAGCTGTCTACCATCGAAGTGTTTAGCATAGGTTTCTTAAGCAGTGGGGTAACTTGAGCCTGCACAGGGAAAATGTGTGTGAAAGTGCTGGAAACAGAGTTGGATTAATGTCTTGCAGAAGATGTGAGGGAGTCTGTCAAAACAGATAAGTCTGGATACTTGAGTGTAGAGAGATAAGTTATTCTCCCTATAAGCTATTCACCTTATTCTTTAGGTACGAGCAGGCGCAGCCATTTAAATCTTTTTGACTCGAGACTTCCCGTCTCATTCACTTTCATTGACTTTTAGACGTTAAAAACAGCTTGTTTTGCTCCTTGATGTTGCAAACTGTTATTTTATTTTTATAGTATTCTGCTTTGTCTGTATAGTCATGCTAACACTTGTTTGTAGAGCAAGTAGTTGGATTGTTTTCTGCCGTTTATTATTACTAGTCGTTTCTCCCATAGGCATCCAAATCAGAAGTTCTAAAACAATCACAAAAACGAGAGCACTTCCGCTTTGAAGAATAAGGTCAATATGGATCTTCTCTTAAAGCTTTTTAGGTTTTCCACTCTTGCTTTTCAGCACATATTGCCAAGGTCTTCTAATTTCAGCAAATTGTATTATACATACTGATGGCTTAAATCTCAGATTATTCAGTTTCTCAAATTATATATATAATTGTTACCTCTTTAGATAAAGTGTTCAAGTGTTGCATTACAAAGCATAAACCATGTAACTGACTTGTGATCGATTAAAAAAATTAAAATGATAATTTTTTAAACTTGCAGATAGCTAAAGATTTTAGTTAAGGTCTCTGAATGTGAATATATATATATATATATATATGCATTATGAGGGTAAATGGATTGAAGCATTTAAGTATTATATTGATACAGAATGCATTTGGGTTCTGAACAACAAGCCTATGGTTGTTTTTAAAATTGTATACGTCTATACAGGGGCAGATTTAGTGATTTTGGAGGCCTACGCAATTCCAGCCAAGCGGCCCAAGTTCTTACATGCACCTTTTGTACTTAATATTTTTTTAATTATTTTTTGCTGTTTTTTCTTATATCATTTGATATCCTTTTCTACATTTTATCTTCATGCTAAATAATAATAATAACATGTAACACACCTTGTAAAACTTTTGAAACGATTCGTGTATTAAGATGAATTCACAACTACACTGTAAAGAAATCTTGGTTGCCTTAAATTTTTAAACTGAAACAAATTAACCTTATGAGTCCACTGAACTTATATTATGCTAAATTGACTAAAAATGAGATCACCGTACAAAATATGATAGGAAACTATGTTATATATAATTTATAGTATAATTTATACTTCTAGGTATTATGGTGGGGCCCTCAGATTTCCTGGGGCTTAACTTTCTTTATGGGTTAAATTCACCCCTGTGTCTATGCTACTATTAGGTAAAGAACCATATAGGCCTATGTATAGGAATATGCTTTGTGGTGGTTACACAAAGTTTTCGTTTTTTTCGCAAAGAAACCTCCTCAAGAGTGTTCCATGCGATTTCATTTTTGTAGTACTCACGTAAACTACAGCACCCAGCATGCACCATTGTAGTACGTACCCATGCACGTTCGGTCGAATTGGCGGGTTGCTGGAGCCTTTCGTGTAGCGTTACCTTTTGTCTGCTCAACCAAGGAGGCTCGGTAAAATAAAAACAAACTCTACCCCCAGTCGACAGATTTTAAAGTTTGTCGAGATTTAAACCCGGTCTAGCTGCACTAAACCACCCATTTTGGCGTTTTTCGCCGTTAATTCAGTAATACACAGGTAAGTGGCGCTGCGTGCAGATTGTAAAAACAACTGCAGGACTGATTGTGTTTCAAGAAATGCGATTTTGTTACTAACAGGTGGATGTTTTGAGTGTTTTATGCAGTGTTGTTTTAAAATACAATTTTAGTCGTATTTTGATGAATGTTTATCATTTGTTTTAGTCGAATCCAGGTCAACATGGAGAAGTGAGCTACCATGCTTTTGCAACATTAGCCACAAGGCTAGTTAGTCGGTGTCGCGTATATTAGGAGTAACGTTATTTTTAGATTTATAAAGTTAGATTTGTTGTGCATTGGAGCGTTTTATGCATGTATTTTCAAGCCAGTAATAATGTCGTCGGTGTCATACCCTTTGGACCTAAATTGTGAGTGTTATAGAGTCAACCTCCTGGCTCGGATCCGTGCTAGACAGAAACGCCTTCCTCGTGCACGTGCGCCGTTCAGAAACTACTGTAACGTTATCTCGGAAACACACTTTTAAAAAGAAATCTATGTGGCGTTCACCGTAACATTACACATCATATTTGAATATTTTACCTCACCAACTCGTGTCAGCAGGAAAAAGGACTGGAAAATTCTAGTACCTTGTCTGCGCGTGCACGTCGATGGAGTTAAAGGGATAACTCCAAGCGTGAAAATTTACTCACTCGTGTATTTTTTTAAGTTTCTTTTTGGTTAAAGCACGTAACCTTTCACTTCCATAGTTGGAAAAACAAAAATAGTATTAACCTTAATGGTTACATGTTTCCTGCTTTTTTTCGAATTATCATCTTTTGTGTTCAACAAAGGAAAGTCAAACTGGTTAGGAACGAGTAAAGCGTGATTAAATTATAATTTTCAATTTTAAATAAATTATTCTTTTAAATTTCGCGGTCCTGACACTGTTTATGAGTTGAAATAAAGTAGTTATGTATATACGTTGCTGATGCTTAGCAGTAGTGTTTAAAATGAATGTAAAGTTAAAATATGAACCATGATGACTACATGGGTGTTTACTTTTACTCTGCAGGTCTTATGCAAAACAGACAGAGATGGAATTATTTAGATTGTTTTATTTAACAATCATAACATGGGAGCCTGTTGTTGTTTTAGGTCTATATTTCTCTGTCTATATGTACATGTATCTGTTGATTAATTAGGATTATCTGAAATCTCTAGAAAAATCTTAGAATGGCACATCCTAGACAGCATATTAGTGCAAAATATTGTTGATTATCATGTTTTATAATGTTTTTATTAGACTGTTATAGACGCTTATCACATTTTCGGGGTTTTTCAGAAGCAGAAATCGTCATAGCTGGGTAAACTTAGAATGTCGTAAATGAGAGAGTACAACAAATATTTTTTTACAAATCTATTTGCTGAAATAAAGAAAGAAAATGCCACAACGGTGTTATCAAGACTTTCAGAAAAAGAAATAAAATAGTGAGACTGATGACGGCAGCCAGAGGAGAAAATAAAGTCAAATTTACTGTGCCACTCCATAGACGTTGCATCAAAAACACATAAACAGTAATTCGTTTTTTGTAATCTGATGCAAAGATGATATGATACATTCATAAATGTTCAAACGCTTTTATAAGATAAATAAATGTTAAAAACTAATTAAAAAATGCAAAAGAAAATTTAAGATTGTGATGACCGTTAAATGCGTCTTGTGAAAAGGGTTCATTATGCTATATCTGTTTATGATTTATTTAGTCAGCAACTTAATGGTCTATTGCAGCTCACAAAAATGTTTTAATGACAGTTACTAGAAAAATGTGATTATTGGTCTCAAAAAAGAATTCAGTACAAAAGTTTTGTAAGATTTTTAAAATGCATTTTTAATATAGCTAGGATTCATTATTTTAACTGAATCAACTCAAAAGGGAGCAGTGTACCATGAAAAGCTGTGTTAGCTAGATCTACTGAACTGTTATCCACAGTGATACTGTGTAACTTTATTTCCTGCCTTGTGTTGTTTCCCTGATGTCACCTGAGCCCCCATCCCCTCTAATCCACACTTTTACTCTGTTCAGCACTGTTGACGTTGACAAGGAACCGGAAGGTTCCGCAGAGCCTCGATGAGCATGAGCCAACCTACAGAGACAGTTAGTGATGCTCCCAGCGTCACCGAAGGTGTCTCAACTTTCTCATTTACTGCTGTTGTCTATTCACATGTGTGGGGAGGGTTTTATTATTTCCAGCTGCTAAAATCACTTAAGTGTTTCTGTCTTAAAGCTGCTTTTATTGAATCACAGGGTTGTTGGTGACTGTTTTTATGACCGCGTTTTCATTTTCATTTACTTGTCAGTGACTAGTAGAGGTGCTTCTACTGAGGTTTATTAGGTCAATGGTATTAAAAATGGAGTATTCTGGGTGTGAGAGAACAGCTTATAGTTACTTTTTAGTTACCAATTAAATTGTATTAAAACAGGAGAAATGTGTCTAATAATTAGTCAATTTCAATCAAGGTTAGTAAATACTGCAGGTATATTGCAATTGTTAGTTCATGGCTAATGGGTCATAAATATTTGCATATACAGTAGATGCTGATTTTCAAATTTTAGTTGCCTTATGCTGATAAAATGCAGATATCAACGTTCAATAATAATAGGTTTGATTAGCATTCATGTTATGTGACTTTCAAACTGCTGTTCAAGTGTTCTAGATAATAGTTTAACTCATTAAATTATGTATAGTTTGTGTAATATACTTATTGATTAATAAGAAATGTTCCTAATTTGATTAGATTGACTTTTTTTTTTTACTTTTTCCTTCAAATAAATGCAGGCTTCAATTTGGTGATAAGATACAATCAAAATTTTTTGCTGACCCAAATCATTTAAACTTATGTATTTTCAACCTTAATGTGTAGTATGGATATTTGTACAAAACTGTGTACATTTATTCCTTAATTCTGTCAGAATATATTAGTCTGGAGTAAATGGTTGATTCCAATATCTTAAGGCATTTCATCTCAAAGCCTTAGGAAGTTGTGTAAAAAGCATAAAGTCCTCGTGGATCAAGTTTAAACCAGTATCTGCTGCGCTTGGAATGTGACACTAACCGTACGTTCACACCGAAAGCGGCGAGAGCGTCCAAGGTCGCTCTGGCCGCCCTGGCGACAACGCTGACTGCCTTCAGCTCCGGCGGCGAGAGCGTCAAAACTCGCTACATTGATCTCATATTTAAAGGAGCCGTTGCAGCATATCAGTTACATTCCTGCATAAGGCATGTTTTTAGCGTGAAAATGTTGCGCACTTTTTTATCAAATTCATATAACAATGGAAGATCAAGTTGCGTGTGGTGTGGCTTTGCTCTATTTATCCAATATGTGTCCGTATGTCTGAAATATCCTGAAGCAGCAGTACTGTTTTGTACTGTCACATCGCGTGAGATTCCCGCTTTTTAAAGATAAATTTATATAACATTAATGAACATCAGTAACTCGCCAGTGACTTATTTAATGTATGTTCCTGTAAGAAAACATTGTAAATAATTGGAAATCCGGCGACCGCAATAATCAAACCCTTGGGAACAACTGTGGTCGGAACCAAAGTTCACAGGTCTGTGTTCCCTGAACTGCTATCAAGCGGTGGACGTCTTCATTCTGATTGCTTGCCGCCGAAACGCGTCATAGCTCATTACCATAAAGTTGACTTCATTTCAACTCTCCTCGACGCTCACGCCGGCGAAGACGCGCCGCGCTGCTCCTCGCCGCTTATCGTCGCCTATCGCCGCCGGCTCTCATTGAAAATGAATGACTTCCGGCTACTTTGACGCTCTCGCCGCTTTCGGTGTGAACGTACGGTAATGATATGTTCATGCTGACTCTTTAGAAATTGTTTGAGCGAATTGTGTTTTTTATGCAGTTAAAATCAGATGAATACAAAAAGTCATAGTTGGTATTAAAGTCAATTAAAAATTGTCATCATTTAATCGCCTTCTGTTTCAAATTGGTTTTGGTTTCTTTTGCTGTCAAACACAAAGGAAGATATTTTGAAGAAAGCTGGGCGCTTGTAACCATTGACTTCCAAAGTATTTGTTTTTCTTACTATGGAAGTCAATGGTTACTAGTTTTTAGCTTCCTTTGAAAGATCTTTAGTGTTCAACAAATAAAGAAATTAATTGTCTCTTCAAGGTTTAGAACCGCTTGATAGAGAGTAAACAGTAAGTAGCTTCACAAATTTGGAACAATGTGACTGTATTTGACAGAATAATTTTTGGTTGATCCAAACCTGTAAGCAGTGGATGGTTAATTTGAAAACATTTAAAGTCTTTTCTGAAAGATTTTAGCTTTCAGTTTAGTTCTCAAAAGGCATTTACCACAAAGTGCTGTCACCTTATTCAAAATATGTCTTACATTTTAATGCAGAGCTTTATTAAAAACAAAGATTTGGACGTTTTCAAGACTTAAACATTAGAAGACTGCATTTGTTTGCCTTCATTTCTTGTTTTCTTTCTAATAAACTTTCCTTTTTGAGCAATACCACCAGTCGTGAAAAGTTGTTGTTTTTGTTTGTTTTGCTCAGCACCATAGTGTGTTTCAGCTTTGCTTCTAACAGTTTGAATACTGATTTTGTTTTCCACAGACTCTGACCATGTTTTTTTTCTTTCCTTAGAAGTTTCTCCAGACAGCAAGCTGGCGGCCACTGCTGGAAAGAAGCAGACCAAGAAGAAGGTGGAGGATGTTGTAGAAGAGGAAGAGGAGGAATATGTAGTGGAAAAGGTCCTGGACAGGCGGGTGGTGAAGGGCAGAGTGGAATACTTGCTCAAATGGAAGGGCTTTTCAGAGTAAGTACAATCTTATACAGTCAGGTCCATAAATATTGGGACGTCAACACAAGTCTAATATTTGGCACTATACACCAAACACAATGGATTTAAAATGAAAGTAGATGTGCTTTAAATTGCAGACTGTCAGCTTTAATTTGAGGGTATTTACGTCCAAATCAGGTGAAAGGTGTAGGAATTAAAACAGTTTGCATATGTGCTTCCCACTTGTTAAGGGATCAAACATAATGAGACCATTGGCTTCCAAGCTGTTCCATGGCCAGGTGTGTGTTGTTTCCTTATTATCCCAATTACAATGAGCAGATAAAAGGTCCAGGGTTAATTTCAAGTGTGTTATTTGAATTTTGGAATCTGTTGCTGTCAACTCTCAAGATAAGATCCAAAGAGCTGTCAAGCAAGCCATCATTAGGCTGAAAAAACAAAACAAACCCATCAGAGAGATGGCAAAAACATTAAGCATGGCCAAAACATTCTTGACAACAGCAACATCAGAAGACCACAGAAAAAAGTGTGGTGGACGACCAAAACATTCTTTCCCTGGTGATGAAAACACCCTTCACAACAGTTGGCCATCAAGAACACTCTCCTGTGTGTGTGGGTGTGGGTGTCAATATACAGAGTCAATATACAGAGGGTTCACCACGAGATGTAAACCATTGGTGAGCCTCAAAACATGAAGGCCAGATTAGAGTTCTAAAAAAGCCTTGACAGTGCTGGGACAAAATCTTATGGACAGATGAGATCAAGATCAACTTGTTCCAGCGTGATGGGAAGAGCAGAGTATAGAGTAACTAATCATGGTCCTAAGCAGTGAAGCATGGTGGTAATTTATCGCAAAGGATTTGCAACCAAGTATTATAAAGTGAAAGTTTTATGTATGATTATTTTTCTGTCTCATTTCTTTTGGTTCCTTCACAAGTTGGACGCACATATGCAAACTGTTTTAATTCCTACACCATTCACCTGATTTGGATGTAAATGCCCTCACATAAAAGCTGACAGCCTGCAGTTAAATCACCAATTATTTCAAATAATAAACCTTTGTTTCAAATCCATTGTGTTAGTGTATAGATTCAAAAATGTAAGAATTTTGTCAATGTCCCAATATTTCTGGACCTGACTGAATAGTAAAATTTCCGGTATTAGGCATTTAGTAGAGCCCTTCCACAATGTGGAAAATTGGCTGAATTGCAGAATCCTCAAAGAATAGTATTAGCTGTGTGGAGCGAGTTTGACAAACTTTAAAATGAACAACACCCAAACAAATTTAAAGTGTTCTCAATATCTGCCGTCTATGTGTAGGCATGAGCTCCACAGAGCCTTGACAGTCAGCATTATACCTGAAAGTCTTGTACAAACAAAGACTTTAGCATCTTTATGACAACCTGTCAGATTAAATGGCTTACTTTAAGAATTTGTGACCAAGTTAAATCATTCCATTGAGCACTTGATTTTTAGAAAACATGTTGGGCATTATATCATAACTAAAAGAACTCCAGAAGTATACATTTGTAAGCAAATCATGCTTTTTTTTAGTGGTGGAGTACCTCTGAAAAAAAGTAAATATAGCATTGATATCTGCTGACAATTTATTCTTTTTTTTTATCTTAGAGAAGATAACACATGGGAACCAGAGGACAACCTGGACTGTCCTGATCTCATCGCAGAGTACATGACAAAACATAAAATAAATGATGACAAGAAAGAATCCAGTGCAAAGAGGAAAGAATCTGACACAGATGGTGGTGGAGAAGATAGTCGGCCTAAGAAGAGGAAAGATGAGGTTAGACTCGATCATTTCTTTTGATGAACAATATTTGTTTATGAAATGCCTTCTGTAAAATTAGCTTTAGTCTGACAGTCTTACTTTCTTGTTGATTCTCTGATGCAACAGCCACAGAGGAGATGTTGAACTTAAAATTTAAGTAATTCAGATTTCACACAAGTTGCACTTAATAAAACCTCATAAAGACATTCTTACCAGAAGACAAAATGTTTTTGGAAGACTACTGAAAATAAACTTAAACTGCATATAATGCATATAATATAAATATAATATAATATCGTAATGTTTTACAGCAAGACAAGCCAAGGGGATTTGCACGAGGTTTAGATCCAGAACGTATCATTGGAGCCACAGATTCCAGCGGGGAGCTCATGTTTCTAATGAAATGGTAAGTAAAATCCGGTTTAAGAAGACATTTTTTTTGTTTTAGCAGCATCATGAAAAACCTTCTCACTCTTGGTCAAGCTGAAACCTGATATGACTGGACTGGATGTTCGCTAAATGTCTGGTTTATGTTTTTGGCCTAGTTAACCTATTATTCCAAAAAAAAAATTTTACCTTTAAAGCATATAAAACGTGACCTTTAAGGCATATGTATGTTGTTGTTTTTGTAGTAGTAGTTTCATTCTTATGTGCACATGTACTGAAGACTCTCACATCTGGCAACCAGTTTTAAGCCGCAGTCCAGATTCTGAAACCTGCATAAAGTTTCATTTTGGTGGTTTAAGCCAAAGTCCAGATGCCTTTGTTTTTATTTTCGGCTCAAATATAAATCAATACCAAATGGCAAAGTATATGGGATCTGCCTACAAGGAACAAACTCGATGAAGTTAATAGGGTTGTCAAAAGTAGTTCAGGACCAATTGGTACTAACGTTTTTGAAAATCAGTCGACTCATCAGTGGACAGCTCTTGTATGTCAGCTCATATGCAGACCAGCTGATTGATGCAACTTTGAAACACTCCAGTGTCTGTATCCGTGTTTGCTCTTTGTGAAAAAAAGAGTGGTGAACTGATGACCATTAAGGCTAATCAAGGTAATTTCTGTTGAGCATGTGAACACAATAGCCAACCAGCAGTGTTTAAGAATGCGCTTAATGGCACTCACATGTTAGGGAACTGAAAATGGACCTTTTTAAAATTTGTACCAACCTTGATATTTTTGACATCACAAGAAGTTAACCCCAATGTTGGGATTTTAATTCTAGGAGTGATTCTCCCATGTGTTTTCTTTGCAAAAGAAAGTTTTATAATATAGTTTTCTGCTGGATCCCAGGACATGCTGGATTAATTGGAAATGAACAAGCCGCCAAAACAGTCCTCACAGGAAATTTAAAGGAGTGCAAAATCCCACTTTCCGATTTGAAGGCACTTATAAAAGGCTATATTCTCAACAAATGGCAAACAGAATGGGATCAGTGTTCAGAAAATAAACTTTTTGAAATTCAGCCAGAAATAGAAAGAAAAGCTTGTTTATTTTTTAACTCAAGACACGATGAGATTTATAGAGGATGTTTATAGAGGATGCCACATTGGACACACGACGAGACTTGCACATGGACATTTACTTAAAGGAGAAGAACCACCAAAATGTCAATATTGCAAAAGATACCAAACTGTTAAACATATGTTTGTGGAATGTCCTATTTTTATTGTTATCAAACAAGAATTTTTATCTGGACAGACTTTAAATGAAATATTTTTAAATGTGAATCCTTCTAAAATTGTAAAACTTTTATCTAAAGTAAACCATAAAAAACAGTTTTAGATTTTTATCTTGTATATTGTATATTATTAATATTATTATTATCTATGTTTTTTACCTTGTGTATTATTTGTTGCTGTTGATGAACTGTTAGAATATTTTTTTTCTAACTATAGAAAAGTGGTATTTATAAAATGTTTTAAACTTGATCTGTTTGTTTTTTTTTGTTTTTTTGCCATGACAAAGCCAAAAAAGCTGAAATGACAATAAACTCAAAATTCTCTCTCTCTCCCTCTCTCTCTCTCTCCTCCCCCCCCCCTCTCTCCCCCCCCTCTCTCTCTCTCTCTCCCCCTCTCCCCCCTCTCTCTCTCTCCCCCTCTCCCTCTCTCTCTCTCTCTCTCCCCCTCTCCCTCTTTCTCTCTCTCTCTCCCCCTCTCCCTCTCTCTCTCTCTCTTTGCAAAAGCAATTTATCTATGAAGTGATCTTTGATTGCCTGCTTTAATTCTCTTTAAGAAACTTTAAGAAGTTTTTTCTGTTCACTTTTTTGAAGAGATTTTAACACCGTTAAAAGCTGTTTTACCAGCAACAAAAATCTTTAAAAACCTAATATAATCTGTGGTATAGATTGTCGCACAATAAAAATAGCTATAGAAGCTGGCATGCTGCTAAACACAAACACTCTCAAATGACAATAGCATCATCTTCACTGAACATGGATTAGATTAATCTAACATTTAACAGGCCAATATAATTATTATATTTGACAAATTTTATAAAGAAAATTATCCAGAGAAAAAAGTGTGCTGGTTATAATAGACATAATATACAAATTTATCATCTTTTTTTCACTCTAAAGCAATGTTATAAAAAAATTAACATCATTTGACACATTGATTGATGCATCTTTAGACCTTATTTCTAAGTCATCAAATGCAACTGTTCTCTACAGGAAAAACTCTGACGAGGCAGATCTGGTTCCAGCAAAAGAGGCCAATGTGAAGTGTCCACAGGTGGTAATTTCCTTCTATGAAGAGCGGCTAACATGGCACTCGTACCCTTCTGAGGAAGAAGAGAAGAAAGATGACAAGAACTAGGCTTGGGGCAAGTCAGAGCAGGTGTTAGGCTTATTTTGCTGTGTTTTCAGGGTGGGTTTGGGACAAGTTTCGAGTTGGGAGAAGAAAAAAAAAAAAGACACCCAAAATCACTCTAACTCTCAATACCATAAAACCTGGACTCAAATATAATTCAGAGCACGATATGCAGAAGTGAAGTCATCTTAAGCAGGCAAAAGTGAATGTTGTGTCAGAAGACTGGCCAACAGATGAATCGCAGGATCACTGTTTTCCCTCTTTGCTTCTCTTTCTGTTGGTTTATTATGGGAAGTAGGGTGTGTATATGCTGCAGTAGTTGCTCAGTTGTCATTCCCGGATGACAAAAATGAATTGAACGTCTGATTAGTTGTAAACTTGATGCAATGGGTCATCTGTGCATATCTTTTTCCTTCTGTATTTTTCTGATAAGAGATGAGAAGGACATTCAAGTCACTGTGTAATACGCTGCCCTAAGTTAAAACACAGTAAGTACGCGACACTGGAATTAAAAATTATGGATTCATAATTTGATTCAGTGTCCACATTCAATTTAAGTAGTGTTTGCTAAATTGAATGTGTGTAGTTGCTTTGTTTTGTCTATGTAGGGCAGTATGACGTAATTTCTCAAGCCTCTGCTTTTCTTTTCCATCTCATCTTTTGAGATTTTCTCTCGAAGTCATTTTTTTGTGTACATACATTTCTAAAAACAGTTGTCACCTTATTAGTGAGCAAATTGCTGTGTTTTGCAGTTGCTGTTTTAGCAGTATTTTGGAATTTGTATTCAAGTATATAGTATTCTTGTCTTTTGTTCTCCACTTGAGGATATATATTGCATAAGGATATATTCACAGCCTAGTAAAACTGCATTTCCCATAATCTCATATAAATTCCTATTTTTAACTAATAACTGTCTTTGTATTTTATCAGTCGCATTACTGTGTGAAGAGAAAATCTGATCTTTATATCCCAGCTTTTCTGACTGATTTTTTTTTCCAGGTTTTTTAGGCTGATCGAAATTGCTAGTCTTGACTCGTAAATACTTATGAAAAAATTGACAGACTTATTGTTTTAACCTCTTTGGTGGTGCTCATGAAGTCGAATGTACTACACAGCTTTAAGGCATCTTTTTATATCATGAACATTCAAAGGTGTAGTGAAAAGTCTTGCTAACATTACCGTGCTACAGATCAGGTCTCACAGTACCACCTTTGCACCAGCATAAGGTATTGACTATATAAAGAGTTTTTTTAAATGTTAATTAATGTCTGCAGTTGGTTAAAAAAGTGCTCAGATCACTGGATACTGTGTTTTTGCTAATTAAGGTATTAATAGTGACACTTTTGCTGCGTATCTGAGGAGCCGTGAAGTACTTTGTCCTGCACAATCAGTAATGTGACTGCATTATACTCCTTTCTGATGGACTCTGTTTTCTCTTTTAAAGTGTACTGTTTGAAGCATGTTACTTTCTTTCATTTTCACCTTTTCAAGGGGGAGACATTTATCTGTTCATTACAAAAATAAACTTTTTTTAAATTAAACTTTTGTTTAATTTGTTAGAGATCATTTCAAAATGTATTTGTTATAGCAAGCTCATGTTTTAAAGAAAAGAAAAATGGACAAATCAGGACAATAAATAAACAGCATTTAATTAGAAGGAAGAACTTAATTTCACTGCAAAACCTTTAACACAATATACATAATTCAATATAAAAAGTTTTAAATTATTTACAAGAAAAAAAAATGCATGAAATCACATAGAATTTCATCAATGAGTTACAGTAACACAGTCTTTTATAAAACACAAACTCAAAGGCAGAACTACTTTTCTCTTAAAACATACAGGGGCAAAAATCAATTAACCTTGTTTTCCATAGAATGATAATCCTGTTTAAAACAGGGTGTCCGCAGGGTCTTAAAGTCCATTTCAAAAACATTTTAGGCCTTAAAAAGTCTTAAATTCACTAAAATATTGACTTGTAGGTTTAAATTATCAAATGGGTCTTTCATTTTAAATCTTCATGTAAAACTACCCAGTCAGACCAACACACATAGTCGCCAACAATCTATCTCCAAAAAAATTCTCTATAACAATGTTTTCCATAAATTAATTATCTTTCTCACAATAACATTTGTATGTTCTCCCAAGTATTTATAGACCATATGTGGTGAGGACACTGACAGACTGGACCTGGACAGACTGTTGTACATTCTAGTTTGTCATTAAAAAAAAAGAAAACATTATATTGAAAGAAATGTATGTATGGTTTGCTCTTTTTTGATACATTAAGTATTATTCAAGTAGTTAGAATTTTTAATTGGACAAGTGAAAATCCTTTTAGGGTTTAGCCTTGTATAAGTATGAAAAGTCTTAATTTCGACTTTGTGAAACCTGCAGAAACCTTGTAAAACTAAATAATACTTTTTCATCGTATACTTTTATATGCTTCAACAATTGTATTAAACCAAAATGGATCAAAACTTGGATTCCAAGCATAACATACCATTTTCTAATCGGGAACAATTTCCAGTATGTCTTTGTTGCCCAGTTAGTTTTTTTTAAACTATTAGGATGAAGCAGAAGTTGCAATTTGTCGGAAGATGGATAAAATGTCCATTCCCTTTCATAATTATGATGTTGATGAGGAACTGGAGGATTCAGATCCACAAGGGGACGAAGGACTTTGGCTGTAGTCTAGTGATAATCATAAATCATGATTTAAAAAGGTCCTCACTAATAAGTCCCAGTTTACAAGTTTGAGTTTTACGAGTATGTGAGGTTGTAGTCTTGTTATTATTCTGTTGAATGCAACTATTTATTATTGAGAGTAGATTTCATGTATTCATATCAGCATAAATTGCAGACTAATAGCTCAAATGGTATCTAATGAGAGGTAAAAGGAATACATTTTTGTCCCTTTAAAGAAGATATGTCATTGCGATACAGGGGAAGTTGAACGAATAATGCTCAAATTAAATGAACTTTTAAAAAAAAGTTGAACAAACAGCACAATGTAGTCTGGTTTACAAACTGCAATATTCCATAAAAAAACAAATATGATTTCATAATGTGTTTCTTGAGTCATATTTTAGCTTTTATGACCATTTTCCCTCTCTGGCCCTTACACTGGGTTAACACGTCAAAAGCGAAATTTGTATTATTGCAAGTATCATGATGCAACTCAATGCAAATGTGTTAATTTCCACTGGGCGGCACAAATGCACCAGAATTTGCTTCAGTCTCTTCCACACCAGTTCAAATAATTCAACCCTCAAAATTTGCTAAGGGTGAAAAACCTCTCAAGTAAACTAGAAAGACAGATGTAGTGCTCCACGTTTAGTGTGAACCTAGAATAAGAAGATCAGTCTGCTTTCTTCGACTTAAGTCAACCTCACTCACAAACTGCATGTTTGTTTTCTCATACAGTATGCTTATCGGTGTCTTTACCTTGAAAGGAAATTCATAGTATGGCCCTTTAGATCAAACCATTATGAAACTTCAAGTTCGGTCAAGTCATGTTATGTCCCTGCACAATTGGGATAATCTCTTGGGTAAATATACCCTACCTGATGCAAATTGCCATTGAACTGTGGTAAACCAGCTGATGGACTTAACAGCAGACAGTGTTTTTCCTGAGCCTCGGCATTACACATGTCTTCCATCTCACTTGTGCTTTTGCCTTTTGCTAAGTTTGCGTCTGGACTGTGAATCTGATCTGTTTTGTGATGCTGCATTTCTAGTTCTGCCTTGCTGCAGAGTAAAGTTATTGTCGCAGTAGAGCAATCCTTGTTCTTCTCTTAGTCTCTCATACACCTCTTCATACAGGCTATTAAGACGCTGCTTAACTTCTTTGATGGAACAAGAGATCTCTGACTTTTCCCTGAGCAGTTTGGCTCGGAGGCGTCTCAGACTGTCCACACCATGCTCCAATTCCACTAGGACATCCAACTTCCTTCTGCGACAGTTCTGAGCCGCCATCTTGTTTTTGCCTCTACGGCGAATGTCTCTGATTAGCGTGAGCTGAGCTTCACTGAGATGGTATTTTTCTAGCAAGCGATTGAACTCATCCACGTTTAAGTTGATGATGCGTTCATTTGAGAATGGGATGTTCATCAAGCGTGCGCGCTTTTCGTCCCGACTGGAGAGATGCTCCAATGCGTTGTCTTCTGTTGACTCTTCAAAGAAATCTTTTGGTGGTTTTCTTTGGCTTTGAGGTTGGTTGTAGGTATGATCGTGTCCAATGTGCTCGAGGCAAGGAAGACGGTGGAATTGCCTGGTTTCCAAAAAGCTTGACTGGCACATTTTGGTTTGTTCTGGCATGAAACCGCCCACTGCGCCATCCTCTTCTTTGATATGACTGTATCCCACAGCGTCTTCATCGGGAACCAAACTATGGGTTGAATTTGAGGATGACGAAGAGCATGAAGATGATGATGAGGAACTGGAGGATTCAGATCCACAAGGGGACGAAGGACTTTGGCTGTAGTCTAGTGATAAACCAGAGTCAGAATCTGCTTGGTTCTGCTCTTCAAATTGTGTTTGTCCAAGTTCTTCCAGCCCCAAATCCATTAGTGCAATCTCATCAAGCATGGCTTCCTCCAGCAGAGGATCTAATGGGCTTGGTAGATCAGAGCCAGCGTTCATGAGGAGCTCTATGATATCAGAGTCTTCAAAAGCTTCTGCATTAGAGGAAGTGTCCAGATTGATGTTTGGCATGGTGCTGTTTGGTGTTTCAGGGAATCTTGGCAGAGTGGCTTGATTAAGGCTAATATCTTGATGAATGACATTTTCTATGGATCCAGTGTTCCTGTCTGAATCACTGATGTTGCCAAGAGAGTCCTCTATTGTTTCTGTTGTATTCATAACCTGTAAGGATTAAAATAAAGGAAATAAATTATTTGACTGCCAGGGTCAATAAAGGTGACCTGCCTCATCATTTGAATGTTAAGGTGCTTTCACACCTGTGGATCCATTATTTTGTTCCGAAACAAAGCACACGGCAAAGTTTCTAAACAGACCAAAAGAGCTAAAACAAGTCACGTGCGAGTAAACTCTCCTCATATTAGTCAGAGTTTCTAATTTTTTTGCCGCTTTAATTTATGACGATGAGCAATAAGAGATTCTAAGCGAAAAGCTGCATTTTAATTATGAATGGTGACACCCACAGACATCGTCACCAAATATAATCCATTCGGTCTATTTTCCTAACGGATAAACAGCTCGCGTTAATAGTTAACATGCTCACACTTTTGTATTTGACATGAAACGCACATTACTGGTAGGAATGACATCCCGCCCTACTCATCATTCTCTCTTCATACAGCCGTATTTATTACATATCCATAATACTCTGTGATATTGCCTGGTTCAGATTGTATTGCTTTTTCACTACAATCAATCCGTTCCAGAGTTCATTTCAATCGAGCAGAGACTACCTCATTCAGGCGATCTCGGACTAATTGGTTTGGCGTGGATCCAAGCGCGTTTGCTGGATTCACATATGCCAAACGAACCGCGCTGACTGGGGAAATGCATCAGGTTCCGAAACAGTAGTTGTGAAAGCAATCTTACATTCGTGAATAATATTATTATAAATCCTTATCAGGATAGTATCATTAACAGTGACTAGCTGTTTATGAAAAATGAAAGTAATCAATGTTTACAAAAAAAAATAAAATTAATAAACCACTGAAATGGAAATTTGCTCTTCTGTAAAAATTTTGCGGTAGATTTGCAATGAGGAAATAGAGTACTGGGGAAGTAATGATTCATTCAACTTGTCATACAGTGTGCTTAACTATACTGGTAGCATGATACAATCCCCTTATTCCCCCCCAAAAAATATTACAATTTGGAAAATTTCCTTTCATTTTTTCTCGTCAGATGTCATTACGAAAGTATCAAATGACAATATTAAAGCTGTACGTATGCAAGATTTGACAATCAGTGGTTAAACTAGGTATTGCACTCCAAAATTAAAACACTTTCACCTCGCCCCTCCTCTGATGTCTCCACACAAACACAGGTTTCCAGGTACACCAAAAGCATACCTGTCAACCAAATATTAACTGTATACTAGCTACAAGTGACAACACACAAGAATATTTTCTATATTTTCCAAGATCATTGGTTTTAACCAAACTGGTCCAATGGCAATTTACCATAATTATGTTTTAAAGAGAGCAGGTTATCAAGACCAAAACAAAGACAGACATTCTGAATGTCTTAAATTTGAAAACATGAAATAGATGAATAATAAAAAAAATAATAAAGAAAAGCCATCTTTATATGGTTATGACTTTGAAAAACTACAACTACTAGGTAATTTCTAGTTTAAAATAAATATTCATCACAACCACTGTCATTCTGGTTTTTATAGAAATAAAAGGCGTTATTAAAGGTTGCCCCATTTGTGACTGCAACATGCTTACTGTCATCACACCAATAGAGCAAGCTCACAGTATACACTTCAGTGAACTCTGCTGTTTAGTTAACTGCAATTAGTTTAACATTTCAACCAACTTGAATTGTCACATATTTCACAGATTTTCCGCTGGCATGGACTGAATGATTACTTGCTACCTATGTCATAATTACCATAATTACTTATGAAAAACGATGCATCAAGTTGTTGTTTAACTTGAGGATCTGCTACATTCACATTATATCTTATGTATTCCCACAATTAAAAGTAACAATACAGTTTTTACAATAATAAGCTGTTAAACACACAAAAAAGTTTCTCAAAAAAACCTATAACTACAAATATCTTCTCTTTTGTTCACTAATGTTTCAACGTATGGACTTGTAATTTGCTTCTTTACAGGAAGATGTTTGCCATTACGTACCTGTGATTCCATGATAGACAAAACATCTTGCCATTGTTGCTCTAAGCTAAATGTGGATTCCTGTTCAGGCAACAAGGGTGAGATGAGAGACCTCTGAAACTGAAGTGCATGTTCTCCTGCGTTCTGTACACCAGGACCTGTCAACTGAAAAATTAACCTTTTTTTAAAAGAGGATCATCTGAGTGGATTGTAAAATTTGACACACTAGGTTTAAGATGAAGTTTTTACCTCTGGATCTTCTTCTGAGAGCAAGCTGGAATCAATGAGAGGCCAAAGAGAAGAGCCGTCTCTCACACCTGACAACTGAAAGTGGAGCAAATGAGTTTGAGGAAATTGTTTTATAAAACTCATATCACTCGGTTATCTATCAAGGTCAAACAACGATGTTCATTATTGGCTCAGGAATGTGGAAAGACTTGATCAAGGTCAGCAGCAGCAAAACATCTGCTTTTTACACGACATACTCGTTGAACTGAGTAATTCCTAGAGCTGTTTGGCTTTTTCACACTATATTGGTAAAGTACATTTGTTCAAGGTATACTTTAGCTCAAATACAAATATATAATCTTATCATGTATGCAACATGTTAAGGATTATTGATGTTGTATAGATTTAGATATTCCAGATAAATGTAAAATTCCATCCATAAATTCAAGTCAAAAATGTAAATTCATCCATTTTCTTTTTGGCTTAGTCCCTCTTAATACGAGGTTGCCTCAGCTGAATGAACTGCCAAATAATCCAGCATATGTTTTATGCAGTGGATACCCTTCCAACTGCAACCCTTTACTGGGAAACCACCCTACACTCTTGCATTCACACACACTACGGCCAATATATTTAATTCACCTATAGCGCATGTCTTTGGACTGTGGGAAAAACTGGAAGAAATACATGCCCACACGGGGAGAACATGCAAACTCCACACAGAAATGCCAACTGACCCAGCTGGGGCTCGAACCAGCGACCTTCTTTCTGTGAGGCGATCATGCTACCCACAGAGTCACCCTGACGTAAATATATATATATATATATGTGTGTGTGTGTGTGTATATATATATATATATATATGTATGTATATATATATATATATATATGTATGTATATATATATATGTATGTATGTATGTATGTATATATATATATATATATATATATATATATATATATATATATATATATATATATATATATATATATATATATATATTGCAGAGTATTAAATATGTGGTTCATATTGTAATTGGATTCAGTATTGTACCTCTAGATCCTCCTCCAGCATCTGGTTGTGAAATGGATTTAAATTTCTCCAGCTCTCCACCATAAACTCATCCTCTTCCTCTTCTTCGTCATTAAGCAAGTTAGGTTGGGTTCTTCCATTTTCTGACTGCTCTTGGTGGATATTTTGCGGAGGGTCCTGCTCCCAGAAGAAAGACTCCGCATCTTCCTGCAAATGCAAAAGTAAGGAGCATGACTAACATAAAGAAGAAAAGTGCTTTTTGTGCATAAGATGTGCTGGCCTAATAATTACTATTATTATCATTTAATTTCACAATTCAGACTTTTCTTGCACAATTGTGAGGTATAAACTTAATTCCAATGACTTTTCTTTCAATTTAAATCAAAACAGTGAGAAACAACAGTGACAATGGTGGGAAGAAAATGTCAGAACTGAAAAGTAAGTTAACAATTGTTCATTTTTCCTTGAAATTCCAAGTTTATATAAAGGGCTTTTTTTTCATGTTTACAAAAGTATGATTTACATTTCACAATTTTGAGCTATTTTTAGCATATAAGCTTGAAATAGCGAGTTTATCAGTTTAAATTGCAAGATACGAAGTGGCAAATGTGAATAAAGTGAAACTTGTGAAATATAAATTTGCAGTTTTGAGAAAAAATTATTATTTTTATTATTGAAACGAGATTCCCATCTCAGTGTTGTTCGTTTATTAGACTTTATTAAATATTTAAAATTTTTAAAAACTGGTTTATTCATAAAAATCTAAACTAAAAAAGTGACTTATTGTAGTAACCTCCAGATGTTTTATCCTGTTGGTGAGACATCTGTGGTCACTTTTCACTCTTTTATATATGGAACCCATACAGTTATAGACAACAGACAGTTTTATGCTATAAATAGACAACCTTTCCCAGTCCTGGAGGGGAGCTAATTAAAGAGGCTGGTCTCTTGGGTGTCTGTGCTGTTGTTATTGGAAGTCCCCTAAGACCCCTGTGGCCCTGATGACAAGTGTTGCAGTTGACTAATATCTTTTTGGCATTAGGGGAATAACAACCCCCCCCTTCCCTCCCAACACCTTACAGTTAAGGTTAGGTTGTTACTTAATCATGTAACCTATTCAGTCCCTATCAGCCTACATATACTTGTCCTAGAGAGGGTTTGACAAGGTCAGACTGCCTGTTTACGTTTGAGCTGAAGGTATGTGGAGCATCTTTCGTGTACTGTGCATTGAGTCCGTTTTGAGGGAATGGCTGCAGACACTTGATCGGTAGCTGGTAAACAGGCATTGCGAAAGCAAATGTGCATGTCTTCTAGGATTACAAAACAAGCCAGGCTGGTGCTGTAGACGCCAAGCCAGCACATGCTCAGGCATATCTACCAGCGGTCAGGCTTCAAGTTGGGGTCCCAACAAGCTTGCATGATCAAATTAAACTGCAATAGCTATGCTTCCCTCCAAAGATGTGAATTAATTGCAGAATATCTCATAAACATTTGCGAATAAAGCACCATTTTCATCCAATGGCTTACAAAGAACAAAATCTTCACTTCCCGATAAACTGGTGCCAAAGCCACTATGGGCCTTTTTATTCTAGAATATATTACTTGTGCCTCAGAAGACTAAACACAATGAACGTGCTGTGGCTTTTGGAGGCATGAGATCACTGTTTAGGAGCTTAGCTGTGATTTGTCTATTAGTGCCACCCCATTGCTTCATTTTTTTATCATCACATGATCTGTTAAAACAAAATAACATGATTTTTTGATGCACATGCTGGAATTTATTTAGTAAATGTGTTTCATCATAGTTTATGCATATTTTCTCTTATCGGATAAAACGTTTATCCTGCTCAGTTGTGCTCATACATTTTTTATGTTTATTTTCAAAATTCATCTTGCCATTTCCATTATGCATTTTTACGCATTATTCCAAAACATGCATAAAAATATTTAGATGCATGGCTACTGATTTTATATCGCAGATTCATTGGCTTTTTATTGAAATGTGTCGATCTAACAATTCCCTAAAACCAGCCAAGAGTTAAAAAAAGTGTCAGAGAAAAGTACAATGGTGCAACCACAGTTTTACCTTGATTTTACATTGCTTTTATGTCTTTTGTGAACAGTGCTTCACTAGACTTCACCGGACACCATACAAGGTGAGCTACCGAGCAAACTGACCATACTAAAAAAGTCCATACATCAGAAGTGGCAAAAAAACTGTTATTTAAAATTCGTATTTAAAAACATCTATAATAGTGAGAAAAAAAAACTGAAATTGTAACTGTAAATGTAATTAAAATAAATATCCTTTATGTATTTACAATCATGCAAACAGTGTCCTACCACTAAATCCCGTTTTAACCTTATATTGTTTAGCTACATCAAATTAAATTTAGTTAATTTGAAAAAAAGAGATAAACTGGAACAAATACAAAAATGTTCTGGTTGGGAGTTTTGACATTTTATCTATCATGCATACGCAGGCTAAGGCTAAAAAACTTTCCCCCACATTGCATACTTCTGTTTATCAGCAGGTAAAAAAGAAATAGTTAACAGTCTGATCCAGCAAGTCAGATGTACCGTGGGGCCAAATATGCAGCCTTTTAGCACAGACTGCCTCTTGGTTCAGAAATAGCCCTGTGGGTCATGAGCATGGAAACCTGTCACATCTGATCTGGTCTGTACATGTGGGGACTTGACAAACATATGGCAACTGTTACTAAGTACAGTGTCCTTACCCAACGGCAGTTCAGGTTCAGCACTGCTTTCAACCTCTTATTCTGTTTTCAAAGCCCACTGAAGGAACAGAAAGTAAAGTAAAAAGCATCCCACTGAAATTCCCCCAGCCGTCCCACTGAGTTGATTCATGTGAACTGTAAGTGAAAGAAAGCATCTCGATGCTTCTCACTAATGTCAATAATGTGGGCACAAAGCCCAGCAGCCGGTCACAGTCACACTACTGGTCTGTTGGATGCCGTGTGTATATGCTGGCAGTTGCTTGTGGGTCAAACCTGTATAACACTACAGGATATTGTGACAAAGATGCTAATTTGGAGGAGATTATTAGAAGCAATAACATTGAGATGTTTTAAATTGTCACTCAATTGCTGGCTTGTGTATGTTGGCAATAAATAAAATCAGATTAAAGGCGTGTGCAAATTATTTGTTTAGGCAAACTAAGCAAAACAAAGCAAATCAAAATGCATTTCAGTTACATAACTGTGCAAAAGGCATTAAACTGATCACTGCAAACTAAAATAACCTTGTGTGATAAATAAAAAAAATCCTCTATTATATTTTGCATTGGAAATATAAGTTCATCTCCAAACATTACTTTTGTAAATGCTGTCACAGATTTTGTTTATTATTATTATTATTTTAAACCCAAAGAAATGAAAAAGTTGATAATATGTCAATGCAAGCTGATAATACATCTGGATCCAAAGCTGATAACTGTAACAGTAATTTTGTAGTTTATTAATCAATAGCTCAGAGGAACAATATCATTGAATAGTTTTCCTGGTAATGAATGATAAGAACATCCACTTGTCCCAAACTTATGTTTATAATAAAATAGAGCATTATTGCATGTTCATATGGATGCTAATGCAAGTATTGTTTTAGTTTTCTTTATAGTTATTTCTCTTGGTGTAAACACGCCTCTTACATGGTCACCCACTGAAGCTAAGCAGGGCTGTGTCCGGTCAGTACCTGGATGTAAGACCACATGGCAAAGCTTGGTTGCTGCCAGAAGTGGTGTTAGTGAGGCCAGCAGGGGGTGCTCAATCTGCGGTCTGTGTGGGTTCTAATGCCCCAGTATATTGATGAGGAGTCTATACTGCTCAGTGAGCGCCGTCTTTCGGGTGAGACGTTAAACCGAGGTCCGAGGTTTAACCCTGGCATCCTGGCCAAATTTGCCCACTGGCCTCTGTGCATCATGGCCTTCTAACCATCCCCATATGATAATTGGCTTCATCACTCTGTCTCCTCTCCACTAATCAGCTGGTGTGTGGTTCACACAGGTCTGATCATATAATTCAAAGCAAAATGTAAGCTTTGAAATTTTACACCTTTTGGATTGTTTCTTTTTATTCTTGAGTCTGAAAAGTGTTTGTTGTGGTTGTGTTTACAACATAGAAACTTATGTAACATGCTAGTATATGTTCCAGCGATCATATGTTAGCCCCATTACCCAGAATAATCTGGGTCTCATGAATCTCTCACGGTCAGTAGAATAAAAACAGCCTGCAACACTTGAGTAATGCATGGGTGGAAAACCCAGCCAGGACGGAGTATCAGATGTTTGAAGTTGCTTAACACACAGCTGTGTCTCAGGGCAAAGGCAGGACACGCATCTGTCCATCTCAAAAACAAATCTATGTGCATAGCCAGACTGAATATTTCTGGTGTAGAGCCGGTGCTGTATGGATGTGTGTTTTCAGTATTGCAATAAGCAAATAGAGTTTGTTTGATGGAGTTAGGCTGCTTTCTGTATTTGAAATCATGGGTTAAGTTAGGGTTAATGACTTCATGTAAGTCATTTATCATGTTGTACTTTAACTGTACAAGCTGATGACCAAATAAGATTACAAGGTAAAACACTTCCTTATTTTACAAGGGCACAGCTTACCTGGAAATCTGATGCCATGAGGAAATTGAATTCTAAGGTTAATAAAGTCAGATATAACACACACTTTTCTTCCCTTGCTAAACCTGTATAAACACATTTCTGCAGAAGACAATTAGAAAACTAACTAAAGAGCTAAAAAGACTGTGCTTAACTGACTTTGGCTAATATTTTTACAAAACAGTTTAATTGTTTTAATGCTCACCAAAACAGAATTTCTTTAATCAGAACTACTGAAAACAGCATTATTTAATGTATTGTTACAGTTTAGAAGTGTTTTCTACTTTACGTTTTCAGCACCCTTGCATGGAGGGTGTTGTCTAACACAAACTTCCATTCCTCAAATTTGTACTTGAACGATTATGTAACAAGCCACAAAACAGGTCATGGGCAAAATGAGAAAAACATCTGGCTTCACCGCTTACCTCTTTAAGGAGTTCATCGTCATCTGGATGGTTGAGGCTTCTTGACATGAAAGCTTCAAGGCTTTGATCCTCAGCTACTTCATAGCTCAGTTCTCCTCCGCTTCCCAGCCTCATGGGTTCCTCCATATCTTCAAGTCCTCCACCTTCCTCAAGGAGGCCCACTTGAGAGGGGATAGAGACTGCATTGTCAGACTCTCTGTGGACCAACCAGGCTTCCAACTCTGCCGCTGGCACTTGAAGACGGTCAAGCGATCGGACCCAACTCAGATGCCTGCGGGCTGTGATGAACTCATCTAAGTCTACGCTTTTTGGGTGCACGTTGTATCCATCTAGGATGTTTCGAAGATTGTGGAACTGAGTCTGAGTGAGAGCTGAACTTGGACCCAGAATGATTTCGCTAAAAGGAGGCAAATAGGGATCCACATCCACGCGCATCCCAGCCAGACTGAGAAGAATAGCCACTTGGATCAAACCCTCCGTGAAGTACTTCTTCAGGTCCGGCATGGCCCAAACCATCACCGGCAGCAAAAACTGAGTCAAATCAGTCTCGTCTGCAAAATTAGCTAGTCTCTGTATTCAGCTGTACAGTTGAAGCTTGAGAGTTTTTGAGGAAATAGTGAAGTGACAAAATATTCTGGAAAAAAAAAATGAAATGACATCAGAATTTAAGATTTTGACATTTTTATTTAGTCTAAGTGCGAGTCCACACTATCATGACGTAATGCCATTTTGACTGTAGGGTCTCCCTGCATTTGCCTTTAATCTCCTCTTAGCTTGCCTAAGTGTGATCTAGGCAGAACTTTACATAAAGCACATGCACACACAACACCCAACACAACACCCATGCCTTAAATTTCAGGTAAAAGACTCCCTCAAAGCTTGCCTCAATGAAGGCTTGGCATTAGTGTGCATAGAGTGCACAGAGAGGTCACACAGGGGTGCCTGTAAGTGTCCCCTGAAAGTGCAAGTGCACATGAAGTGTGCCATTTGAGATTGAAATTGCATGTTCATTATATCCATGACACTGGTGCTCCATTTGAAATAGTAAACGAAACACCCTATGCTGTCTTTTAGATTAAAGGAGATAACAGTGGCTATTGTTTGCAATAAGATTGGGCCCTCATATGCTTACACTGCAAACCCTAATTAGTTGAGACCATTCAAATGATTTGAGGAAAGGGTAACACTTTATTTTGATGGTCCATTTGAGTATAAGTGAACTGTCTGCTTAATATCTGTTGATACTGCTCCTTCAACAGACATTTAACTGACTATGAGAAACTTTGCAAGGACATGTCAACTTACACTAAAGCTAACTCCAACTCTAACCCCAACCTAAAAGTCTACTTATAATCTAATGAGAATTAGTTGAAATGTAAGGTCACCAAAATAAAGTGTGACCGAGGAAAGTGATTCCCTCAATTCGTTTGAGTGATGGAAAATCAACAACTCAATTAATTGAGTTGACCAAAAGTGATCTTTTCATTGAATTAACAGATTACTTAAATGATAATATTTATGTATCTATTCTAACATTAGATAGTATATAGATTAAGAAAAAAAAATATATAAGCGTTACTTACTAATTTAACTTTTCTCTTTGTTTTGTCAGATGGGTTCAGGTAGTGCCTTTGTCTTGGCTCTGCTTTGGCAAAATTCAGCATTACAAGCAAAATGATCATCTTGTGTCATTTTACATATATTGACCAATCAGTGCGGTTGTCAAAGCAGAATTTCAAGCATGACCAATCATTTTAAACAGACATATGGTGAATTGTTTAAACCAATTAAAATGTTACGTTTAGAGAACTTAAAATATTATTGAAAAGTGTTTAGCTGTCTAATGCCTTAGTTAAACACTCAAAAAAAAAAATTTTTCTCGGTCAAACTTATTTAAAATGAGCTGAAACAACACAATTCTTGAGATTTCACTGGGTCAATATTTTTTTTTATGTTTAATCCACATAAATATGTTAAAAGCGTTAAGCTTGTCACTGATACACCTTGTCTATAAAAAATAATTTAATTGTTGTGAGATCAAGCTGGCACATCTGATTGGCCCACACTTCTACCGGGCGGTCAGTAAGCTGCATTACATCCCAAAAGTGTGGGCTAAAACGAAACATTTTTGGGGAAAAATAGTTTTAATAAATTAGATCAGAATATAAATTATATTTTAGAAGTACAGTTGAAGTCAAATGATGTTTAACAGAGCAAAGGAATTTTCACAGCATGTCTGATAATGTTTTTTTTCTTCTAGAAAAAAGTATTATTTGTTTTATTTTAGCTAGAATAAAAGCAGTTTTTAATTTTTTTAAAACAAATTTAGGACAAAATTATTAGCCCCTTTAAGCTAATTTTTTTCGATAGTCTACAGAACAAACCATGATTATAAAATAACTTGCCTAAAAACCCTAACCTGCCTAGTTAACCTAATCAACCTCGTTAAGCCTTTAAATGTCACTTTTAGCTGTATAAAAGTGTCTTAAAAATATCTAGTCAAATATTATTTACTGTCATCATGGCAAAGATAAAATAAATAGTTATTAGAAATGAGTTATTAAAACGATTATGTTTAGAAATAGGTTGAAAAAAAATCTCTCCGTTAAACAGGAATTGGGGGGAAAATAAACGGGGCTATTCAGTGGGGCTAATAACTCTGACTTTAACTGTATGTCGTCAGTCATTTGTATTCTTTAATCACTCAATATGTATATGTAATAGCCTATATTCATATGTAAGTACAGCAATAAGGTTTACGCGAGACCATCTATTGTGAATTCACTTTCAGTTTTGAGCATGTTTCAAGATTAAACAATGAACACACAAGGTGGAGGCGCGAGTCTTCCAGAATGCTCTTCGGTTATCTTGACTGAAGCTGTAATGATGGAACTGTAGCCTATAACACATCACCTTCATTAACAGCAGTCAATAACGCGTGACACTCCCGCTGACCCACTTTATTATTTCTTCATAACTGGGCAACAGGCAGCTTGAGTCACGCAATGATGTAATAGTGGTGCGGGTTAAGAAAAACAAAATAAGCTACTACATACTTCAAAAAAGTACTAGAACATGTTTTTTTCCTGTCATAACACAACAGGTGAGTGAGGTGACCCACACACTCACAAAACATGCACTGACCTCATGAGTTATACAGTAATTATGTGATAAGGGTCAGGGTATATTCTGGCAAACCGTTTCCCAATCACGCTTTGCAATCGGCAAAGCAGAACGGAGCACACACCGTTTACCAATTCAGGATGGATAACTCGCAAAGCTAAACTTTCCTGCGTGCTTTCTTAACATATTGCTATCAATCCGCATTGAAAGCAAGAGAATATAAACGTAAGAGGCGGGGCAAGGGTTTACGTTTTTCAAATTAAAAGTGGGCGTACGTTTAAATGAAAAAAAAAAAGAAAAGATATGCCTAATGTTAATGTGAAGTACAGCGCATTTGCGTCCATTCTATATTTTTAAGCCTACACTGAGTGTAGGCTAGTAATAGAGGGTATTTACTTTTAGTAAAAAGATGTGACAATAGCAGCACAATATTTAATTTTTAGTATTTTAAATATATCACGGTGGTGCAGTGTAGCACAATCGCCTCAAAGCCGAGCCAGATGGCATTTCCATGGGGAACTTGCATGTTTTCCTTGTGTTGGTGTGGGTTTCCTCCGGGTGCTTGAGTTTCCCCCACTGTCCAAAAACATGGTGTAGGTGATTTAAGTATATATATAGTGATGGGTTGCGGCTGCAAGGACCTCAGCTTCGTAAAACATAAGCTGGATATGTTGGCAGTTAATTCCGTTGTGGCGACCCCAGATTAATAAAGGGACTAAGCTGAAAACGAATAAGTGATTCAATAAATGATTAAAATATTTGCTCCTTATGGGCCATCTAACGTAATCTATTGCAAACAGTAGCAATTATCTGCAAGTATTGTAGCACTTTAAGAAAACAGTAGTCAATAATAATTTAATTAAATACAATACCAGTCATAGTTATAAAGATGAACAACAACTAACCTAATATTCCTTCTTCAGATAAAATAACTCATCGTAACCTTCATACTCTGACTATTTTTAATCCAAGTAGTCCTCTATTTTTGTACAACCAAGAGATGACAATTTGGGGGAACAGAGTCAGAAGTCTTTTGTCAGAAGATTAAGAAACTTTTATTTAAAAAAAAAGGATGTAATGCAATTTGACAGAGAAGACTGAATGCACGAATTAAGAAATTTCATTAATAAAATTAATTAATCGTTTTTTTAAATTTATGGGTTATTCCTATTATTCAGTGCCATTTCAGGGTAGTAACTGTCACTGATTTATTTATTTATTTATTTTTTACATTTTCTGGTATTTTTATAATTTCAGTTGAAGGAGCACATGTTGAACTATAAGAAAAAATATACTGATCCAGTTCAGGATACTACATAGAATTTTCACATGTAACACAGGCCAAATGTTTCCCTTTTACAGAACATTCTCATACCTTTTTAAAGGTGTTTAAAATAAATAGTTACTATAATATTTACATTTTCCAAGGGCTAAAATGTCCCTCACTTTACACTGCGCATGCCTGTTATAGCTTAGAACACCAACAATAGTATTTTTTAAAAGCTATTACTAAACAAGGGTTATCTAAAAAAGCTTGCTATGATGACACATTGTAAATTTAATGTATTTCATTTAGTATAAAAATAGATTGCAATGCAATTAAATCCTGTTTTTAAGTGATTTAATTTTGTCAGTTCTTTGGATACAAGTAACCAGAAAAATGTGTAATTTATGTTGATTTTATTTAATTAATATGAAAAAACTATTATATATAATATATAATAATCATTAACAGGGTGGAGAGAGGAGTACCAGGGTTAACACAATAGGAACTATATAGGGAACTTGTTTGCCACACTCTCATTCGATTACCAATAACAAAATGATGGTTACTGAATTATCCAAAGAAAACACAGCAACATTTTTCAATGTCACATCTAAGACATCACATAAATTGTCCAAAAAGCCAATCTAAATATAAAGAGCATTTTCATACAGATATTAGAGTACAAATAGTGAAATACTGAAAATTGCAAATAAAACTATTATTTTAAAATCAATATTTTATTTTGGTTTGCACCATGACGTGCCCTGTATCATTTCCGCTTTTCTGTAGCCGACAAGCGTGCCGTTCCCTGAAAAAATCATGCACATGGTTTAAACTGATCTATAAACCATGTTTAAGCCATGAGCAAACAGTAACAGTGTGGACAGTAACAGGAGTGACATTTTTTGCAAAACTCAGGCATTACTACCATTATGGTGAACAACGAGCTAGCACATGATGATCTGAAGAAGATTTGAAACATGTTTATTAACGGTATTTCTCAAAATTACAAAAAAGAAAAGAAAATGTTTCCCTTATATCAAAGGTGTCAAACTCAGTTCCAACAGGGCCGCAGCTCTCTACAGTTTAGTTCCAACCCCAATTAAACACACCTGATCAAACTAATTGAGTCCTTCAGGCTTGTTTGAAATCTACAGGTAAGTGTGTTGGAGCAGGGTTGGAACTAAACTGTGCAGGGCTTCGGCCCTCCAGGAATTGAGTTTGACACCCCTGCCTTATATGAAAATAGGTAACAGGGTAGACATGTTATGTTTTATCACAACAGAAAACTACTCTGAAATGCTTAAAATAAAAGAAGATAAAAGAGTGAGACTAACTCTGCTTCTTGTAGACAATTTCCATAATTGTGGGAATTCCTGAGAATCATGTGACTAGAGAAAGAATCAGTGGGCATTTTTTTAATGTGGATTACAATTAAAGTAAGGAGACATCCATTTCAGGGACACACATTAATTTAAAGATTTTATTAAAATATTTTAATTTATTAAAAACTATAGCATTTGGTGAGAAGTATTATATGACAATAAAAAAATCTATAAAAAGCATAGTATTTATTCGGATTTCTAAATTATACTTTTAACTGAACTTGAGCATACATAAACTGGGACATGGCAATTCAGCCACTTGCACTGAAATTAGAGTAATTATTTTAAATTTAATTGAATTTTAGCACTTGTAATCGGGTCTTATTGTTGAAATTGGATAATCTTATCAGAAATTTTTTCTTGTTGAATTTTTAATTATTCTGTACCATATAATGCCCTAGGGAAACAAATGGCACTGAATAGTATTAGTATAGTAATTATTTTCTTTATTTCTGTAAACTAATTTCTGTAAAGTAAAAACTGGAAGGACCCCATACAAATCATGCGGCTGAAGCTCCCTGTGAAGCCTATGTGCAATTGTTAAGTTTTATCTCTGAGCTTATTTACATTGTTAACTTTCATGAAAATAGTTATAAAATAGTCCACTATAAAATAGTTAAGTTTTGTTGTCCAACAACTCTGACAAGTCATAGAGAAAAAATATTATTTATAATTTATTAAAAAAAAAAAACACTATATGAAGATAAATGTCCATACAATGCAGATAAATTGCTCTTACACTATTTGTATATTATTATTTCAAGATTTCTTTTTCTTTTTAGCAATTACACATATTTTTGGCTGTATTTTGGCAATATTTTTATGGTAAAGTTCAGTAAAACATAAAAATATAATATTAATAAAGTGAGTGAGTCTTTTTTCTCAAACAGACTTTGAACTACATAAATATAACAGTTTTTACTTAAAATTTGTGTCAACTGCCTATGTCAAAATTCTGTTTTTTATTTTAAGGCACTTTTTTTTTTTTTTCTGTTGAAAATTGCCATCCATATATTTGTTTGTATTTGGTGTGTTCTTATACACACAGATATTACCTTTTGTATGCCTAAATACGTCTGTACCATTTACACACACCATCTTAACCAAAAGTATTACATACCATACGCACATAACCATTCTGTATAAAAACATACAATAAAAACATAAATTTGTGCTACTGAAACAGATTTTGCACAAAATCTATCCTGTTAATTTATCTATTTATAGTTATGGTTATTTTGATGTGACTTGCTTGTTTTGTGGATCTGTAAATGAAGTATCTGTAGCTCCACATTTGTTTTTTGAATGCGGTGTGACTAACAGATTTTGGGTTGAATTAAGCTGTTAAATGTGCAAATGCGACACGTTTCTCCTCAAAATTGTTGTCTTCTTTTGAAAACATAACTTTTGAGTAATAGTTGCTTAAGAAAACCGGTGCTATTTTTTAATGCATTGTGACAATCTTTTTAAGGATACACTTTAATCGCATTTTCGCCTTTTTATATATTGATGATGTTCAAAGCTTGATTCATGCAAACCTATTAATACCACATTTTTTTGTTGTTTGTTTTCTTTCTTTGTTGTTTTTTCCCCCTGCATTTTCTTATTTCACATGTAAGAGTAATAACTCTCCCTGTTACTGTTTTGTCATGAAAATATATTTTAAAAAGAGAGAAAAATGCAGACAAAAAGACTATAAGTGCTAGACATGGTGCTTGATTTTGCAGGACATTTTTTTACATAAACAAGTAAGAAGGAATTAATGAAATATTTAAATTTATGTAGGCTATTATGCACAAATTTTAATAGGGATAGATTTAATGTAATAGCTTATAAAGGTATTAACAATATATAATATTGCACTGAACGACTGAATTTAGGCATAATTTAATAAAAGTGTGAAATTTGAAAGGGACTGAGAGGTATCATATCAGGGATGAGGGAGCGTGGTAATCGTTTTTTCATTGGTTAGGTTTTTTTCCAGTAGGGGCGTGGCAATAGTTTTTTCCATTGGTCAAAGGTTTTCTTTTCGGTCAAATGCGTTGGGTAGTTAGATTACCATATTTAATAAGCTGCTCATTTAGTTTAAAGGTGGATCATTCTACTTTATGTACTGGTGTTTAGAATAAAACTATTTATAACTATTTATAAATGCACTAAGAAAAGTGTTTTATTCAGTACAAATCCATTTTTTTGCCTGGTAAATATATATATTGTTCAACTATCACAGATTTATAATGAAGATAATAAGTTATTAGTAACTTTATGTTAAGTGATATGAATCAATTGGAACACAAACATGGGCTGCACGGTGGCACAGTGTAGCATGTTCGCCTTACAGCAAGAAGGTTGCTGGTTTGAGTCCTGGCTGGGTCAGTTGGTGTTTCTGTGTGGAGTTTGCATGTTCTCCATGTGTTCGCTTGGATTTCTCTGCCCTGGGTGCTCCGGTTTCCCCCATAAGTCCACAAACATGTGGTACAGGTGAATTGGGATGGCTAAATTCTTAGTATTTGTGTGTGAATGAATGTGTATGGATGTTTCCCAGTGATGGATAAGTTGGCGGTTCATTCTGCTGTGGCGTCCCCAGATTAATAAAGGGACTAAGCCGAAAAGAAAATGAATGAATGAATGAACACAGACACATAAACATAGAGCATATATACACATAAACGCATATATATATAAGCTTTTAAAAGCTTTTAGGAAACTTAAGCTATTTTAGTCTCATCATTTAGGATGACACTAAAACACAAACATGCTGGAATGTAATAACTGGAAAATTATAATGTAGAAATTAAGCTGTAAGCTTGATAAAATTTTATTTTAAATGTAATTACATTGACCATGTCGAGATGTAATTCAGAACAGTCTTCACTTCAATTTTAGTGACTTTAAGAATGAAAAACAAGCCTACAAGTGCAGCAATCCACAATAAGTGGTCTTGTGCTGCCACCTAGTGGTTAAATTGAGTTTAAAGTGATTAATGCTAAAATTCTGGCTTGTAAATTGAATATCTTTTTGAGACATCTTAAATATAATAATTGTCACATGCAGTTACAAAGAAAAAAAAAAGTAAATATATATATGTGGTGGAACGGGAGATTGTCATTGATATGCAGCCGACAAAATCTGCAGCAACTGCATACAGCTATCATGTCAATATGGATCAAATTCACTGAGGAATATTTCCAGTACCTTGTTGAATCTATGCCACGAAAGATTAAGGCAGTTTTGAAGACTAGTAAGACATAGGTGTCAAAGTAAATGCTTAGAGGGTAGCAGCTCTCCACAGTTTAGCTCCAACCCTGATCAAACACGACTCGTAATCGTAATTGTAAATCGAAGTGTTTAATAGAATCTTGATCACCTTGATTATTTGGATCAGCTGTGTTTGATTAGGGTTGGAGCAAAACTGCAGAGCTCCTATCCTCAAAGAATTAACTGACACCTATGTAATAAGGTGTACCTAATAAAGTGACCGGTGTGCGTCTATATTTATAAGAAAATAAATAATAACTACATAAATATATGATACTATATTAATTAATTATTTTTTAACTTTTAAATATACTTCAACGATCTCAATGACTTGAACCTTTCCTATTTATCAATTTAGAGCTATAATTCATGATTTAACCAAGGTTTATCTTTTTCACATACTCAAAAACAATACGTTTCTGAATTCCCTTATCACAATTACCGAATAATTCCCCAATTATTCCCACAATTTATTTATTCGGATGTACCTACATATACGTTTAAACATTTTAATTTGAAAAACGTAAACCCTTGCCCCGCCTCTTACGTTTATATTCTCTTGCTTTCAATGCGGATTGATAGCAATATGTTAAGAAAGCACGCAGGAAAGTTTAGCTTTGCGAGTTATCCATCCTGAATTGGTAAACGGTGTGTGCTCCGTTCTGCTTTGCCGATTGCAAAGCGTGATTGGGAAACGGTTTGCCAGAATATACCCTGACCGATAAGCTACACACTTTTAGGTGATTAGCCGACTATATGAAAAAGATAAACGACAAAGCTTAGACAACTACAAATCCAAAATCAGTTCTCACAATAAGCTCACTGTATAGATTTATAGAAAGTGATTTGCATTACCTTGTCGGTCGGCAGACGAGAGTTCTGGAAGTCAGTAAATAAAGGCGTGCGAACTGAACACTTACTCCTCCTGGATGATCTGAATCACACAACATGCTCTATAATGATGTGCGAGTGTATTTATGGGGCAGGAGTCGGTGAGTGCTGGAAAGCATGGTCTCCTCCTACGTGACGTAAACGAGACTTTCGGTTTTCTTTCGGTCAGACAGCGCGTGCTCACTCCGTTCATCAGTGTTTACAACAGACTTCTGATTTTCCAATAACATTTATTTTCTTCAGAACTTTAATGGCTTACCCTTATTGTAGTAATATGGTTATAATTAAAATCTAGTATTTAAAGTTTAGTAGCCTATGCAAAAAGTGTGGACTTTTATTCTGTAATGCAATTTAAAAGAGGGAGATAATGCAAGAACAACAATAAAGGGCGTCATCATCACCCTTATTAAAAAAATAAATAAATATATATATATATATATATATATATATATATATATATATATATATATATATATATATATATATATATAGTAATACCATTTAATTAAATACTATGCTATAATATTATACTTTTAATGTTATTACCATAATCAACCCTTGGCTCAATTATTAATAATTATTATTATTAACAACTTTATAAAAATATTTTATTTATAGCATTTTTTAAAGATAGTATTTAGTGCAAAACAAAAAGTGTGATCTTGCGCTTTTGTCTGTATATACAGAGGATGTACAGATGATAATAATAATACTGACTACAATAATAATAATGTATAATCTAATATTTTTATTTATATTATTTAATAACATTTTATAAAATGTGTGTACAATGCTTGGATAATATATATATATATATATATATATATATATATATAATTTTTATAATAAATATATTATTATAAAGAAATTCTAAAGGGCCTATAAATTATGTAGGCCTATTATGTTTGCTTTTATTATCATTATCATCATCATTTAAATATTATCCTCATCAAATAATAATTTAATTCTGTATAGGCTCTAATATTTAGTGAGGGAGAGGATTCCCAGATAATAATAATAGTAATAATGTTGCTTCATGTATACTTAAAATAGATCTAATAATAAACCATTTTACTAATGTTGTTTTAAATGTACGTTTACAGTAATCTATGTGTAAGTAAGCTCTTCAGCTTTGCTGCCCCCTGTCGCGTTAGCAAGAGGGGGCATTACATAAGTCAACTGCTGTTGATTATAAATTCATAGCATATCCTGTTCGCACAGGTGTTTTATGTAAATGGCAGTTACACGTAATTAAACTCGTTGGACCAAGTGACGTGACGCTTAAATATTAATTTAATTATCAGACCGCCCAATACATTCAAGAAAGCAGCAGAGCGCACAATAAAATCCGCCATTGTGGCTCCTCCACCGGAGCGTTTCTGTACCAGATCGCTACGGTGAGGTTGAGCCAAAATGGCGGCTCCCTGGCTGTAGTTGCAGACACGCCCCCTGTGAGTCAGAGGCTTTAGGAGCGCTAGTGTAATGACAGCTCAAAGCTGTCCACGTCAACACTGCTACAACCATGGACTCCGCGGCTCTGGTAGGTTATGTGTGCCATTTAATCCTTGCTCTTTTTTTATTTAACTTATCGTAAACGCTGAAATCGTATATCGACAGGCTTGAGCAGCTTGTGCGCAGTTTTTGTCTTTAAATCTAAGAAGAAATGTCTTTTCTACAGCGATAAAATTCTCTTTATATTATTCTAAGGCTTAGCCTGCTAAGTTAAAAAATATCTTAAGAAAACCTACAATTGTGAAGTACTGGAAACGCGCGTTGCTTTGTATTATAAACGCTGGTGCTTGCATTTTTCATTCCCGAAATCGAAATGTTGCTGCCAGAGACCGATCCGGTTTCTTTTTGCGAGCAAGTGAACATTTCTGGGAGCAAAGCATAACATTATTTTCCGATTATAAGCGGATAGTCGTGCCAAATGCGAATGTTGTCGTGTGTTCCTCCTAATGTGCGCTACAGGTGTGTTCATGTTCATTCTGCACTTGAGTCCCGTTTGTTCTGAAAGTTTTTTCCGTGTAGTCGTGGATGATGTGGGTTTTCAGAGTGAGACGTGGATGCCACGTCCTCGATGCGCGTCTGCCGGAGCGGAGCGCGCGCTGCCTGTGCGGTGCGCGTGATTGATTCCACAGGTGGACACTTGGAGGAGATCAGGGTTACTGCTTGCCATGGACATTTTAATACTCTTATGAGTTGACCTATATAAACAACACCCCTTATCACTACATATGATTAATGAAGTATAGCCTACCTGTAGAAAAAGAGCAGCGACTCGCCTTTAGTGAATAAAATAACCTTATACGTGGGGGGAAAAGTGTTTTTAAAGTAGCTATTTACCATTTTAATACTGTTAAATGTAGGATGACATTTACCATTTAAATTAACTTTTATATTTCAATAAAATGTACTGTTGTCTCAAGTTAAATTTCAAAAAAGGAATATATTTGGAATGTTATAGTAGCCTACATAATACATGTACGTGTGCTACATAAGGTGATGGTACAAGTGACATTCATTCATTACTGACTTTGACAAAAGGAAAGGCCTTGCATTGTTATACTCATTGTTTACACACAATACTCCGTTTCAAATAACCTTGGAATGAACAGATGCAGTAGCATACTGCATATGTTATTGTTAAATTGAGCAGAATATTCATTTAACGTTATAGTTAAAAGTCATTCATGATTACTTTAATACATAGAATCACGGTTTACTAGATATTTAATAGCTATTATAATTTACAGCTGCTGAGGTTTCGGTATTGGGCCCTGAAGGTCTGTATCGAGACAGGATTGACTCATATTTCAGCCAGATGATCTGAAAAGATGATGGTTTTCTCCTGTTCACCTGGCTCAAGTTCTGTGATACACTCAGACTTTGAATCAGTGGTAGTCAGTGCATGACAGAACTTTGGCCCGGACGGACCCAAAGCGAGAGCCAACAGCCTGTTTTGACTAAACCTTCTGTACGTCTGTATCGACATGTGTGACGGATGTATTTAATCTTGAATTAAATACAAAAGTTTTGAACATTCAAAATTAATATTATCATGATTTATTTTCAACCAGGAACCCTCGCTGTACACAGTTAAGGCAGTCTTCATCTTAGACAACGATGGAAACAGACTTCTCTCAAAGGTGCATAGACTCCTCCTTTACACTTATTTTTTTCATCGAAGATGGATAATTTACACTTCAGGCATTTTAGCCTGTTAAAAATTATGAATATTATAATTTAATAAATTGTCTTAATATGTATTATCAGATATGCAATATCACTTGAATTATTTATATATAGTATAATATTTATTGTTGATATCATTATTTTGTTATTATAACTATTATTGTTATTATACATATGAGAATAGAGTAAGAACTGAACCTAGATATTTTAGCCATTTTAAAAATGATTTTAAAGATTTATTTTAAACATGATTTCGATATTTGTAATTATTATTTTATTAAATAATTACATTTTTAATTGTATTAAATATATTCAGTTATTATTTTTATTTTCAAATATATTTAGTTATTATTTTTAATATTTTTTCCAGTTTTAATAATTTTTAATTTGTTTAATCAGTTTTTATTTTCTTGTTTCTTTTATTCATGTTTCTGTAAGGCACTTTGAATTACCATTGTGAATGAAATGTGCTATATAAATAAACTTGCCTTGCCATGCCTATTATTATTTATTATGTTGTTTATTATTATACAAGTACATTTGTCCTTTGATATACAGCAGGGGTGTCCAAACTCAGTCCTGGAGTAAAATTTGCAGGACACCGGCCCTCCAGGACTGAGTTTGTACACCCCTGATGTACAGGGAAAGGATCTAATTTCATATCTAAAAATGACTTCTTTTATTAAAGGAATAGCTAATGTTAAAGAATAACTCTGTACTTTAAATATGATATATTGAAACCTTGACGTTTCTCTTGTAGAGTAACTGGGACAAAAATATAAAATTACCTAAATGAGCACACCTTAAAGGGATAGATCACATAAAACTGAAAATGATGTCATCATTTTCTCACTCTTCACCCATAACAAACCTTAATGAGTGTCCTTTTTCTGTTTTATATTAGAAAAAAATCTGGAAATTAATTACTATTGACTTTCACTGTAATTGTTTTACTTATGCAAGTAGCAGTTTACTTATTGTGTTCAATAAAAAATGAAACTCATTAAGGTTTGTCAGTAAATACTTCACTTTCACGCTTGTATTAACTATAACTTTAACCAGATCTTAGTTTTTCATATATATTTTATTCCCATTTGTATTCATTTACGTTAGGATTGCTTCCATTATGTTTAACTGCAACATATTACTTGAAGAAAAAAACAAACAAACATGTCGTGTAACAAATGACTTCTGTGAAATTTCAGTACTATGATGCAGAACTCTACCCCTCCATGAAAGAGCAGAAGAATTTTGAGAAGAACGTCTTCAACAAAACACACAAAGCTGACAGTAAGTCGATTATTTTATAGGCTCTGTGTTGCATTTTAATCGGTATCCTGCCAAATGTGTATAGTGAATAGACCTGGCCGTCTGCTTTGTTCCAGCTCAAACTGTTCTCTAAGGGTTTCGTGAATTTGGAGATCTTATTGTGTCGATTAGGACCAGAAGCACTCTCTGAGTAAAATAAGAAGTGTCCCAGATTAGTCCCAGATCGAGTTTCAAAACTAGTTTAGAGAAGGCCTCGGTCATTAGAAATTACAAGTATCCTCTGGGGCTTGTAGGTCAGATTACTGCAAAACTGGGTGGAGAACCTGTTCCAGAATTCATAAATGTTTTTAGTCACTTGCGCTGTGGGCCAAGGAGTGTGACACCGCGACAGTAAAACCACCCTGATCCTGTCAGCTGATGTAATGTGGTCAAAATACACACCTGTATTTGTCACTTAAAGGTGAAACAACAAATGGTGATCTGCGTGTCAAGAGTAATTCTTAACTGGACTGTAAAAAAAAATTCTGTCAAATGTACAGTATTACTGGCAATTTTGATGGCAGAAATACTGTAAAATTGTAAAAGGGCTCTGTAAATGAATAATTACAACTGTGCTGTAGTTTTAAAATTTACAGTTTTACAGTGTTAATTTACAATCCACTTGTAAATTTTACAGTAATACTAGCCTCCAAAATTGCCAGTAATACTGTAAATGTTACAGCATTTTTTTTACAGTGTGTAGTTCATTATTCATTCAGATAGCCAGACAAATATATATTGATATTCATCTGGACTAAAAGTCTTAGTATAATCACTTCTGCCCTACAAGTGTTGTCTTCACATGAAACTTTGAGAATATGAAACCAGCATTTAAGCACAACACCACAAAGTAAAATATTTACATTTACATTCAGTCATTCAGGTGTGTAAAGTCTAAAAAGGAAAGCGTAAGTAATGAGTTTTTTTTTTTTTTTTGAGTACAGTTAGTGCTATAGTCAGAGAGGCAATTGCAGATTAGGAAGTGAAGTATAGATTAAATAGTTGAGGGGTCATTAAAATCATACAATTTCTTTTTTTTTTTTTTTGTAATTCTTATGCACTCCTAATCAAAATAATCCTTGTGGATGGGATCAACCTGTTAATCACAAGGGATCTACCAGTAGCTAACCAAAGTCATCCAACCATACATGTGTAATTTCTCAATGAACAAAATTCTACCAGCAATTTTTCTTGTCTAAGCAGTTCACTTATTCACATACTTGTGAAATGTATTGCAATTTATATTACATGCTGATTAATAAAAACACTTTTGCACCGTTCTGTATAATACATTTAAGATTTTCTTTATGGTCTTACTCTTTATATGATACTGACCGTATAATACAGAAGTTAAAAGAGCAATTAAGGGTGTGTTCACACTTATTCTGCTAAGTTTGAACTCTGTTTGTGTGGTTGAACAACAAGCAGACTAAAATTCCTGAAAGATCTGCTTCCAAATAAACTCAAATGAGATATGAATCTAACACAAACCAAAGAAATCTAAATGAAATAAAAAGGGACATAATGCCACAAGATGTGGCTATCAAAAGGACCGAAAACTCATGTATGGTTATTTTCTTCTTCATTTCTTCTTGATGTTACTAATTACATGTAAATACTGGCTCTGGAAACAGCTTTTAGGGCTTGTATTATGCTGCAAAACATACTGCAAGCAGCGCAGTTTCACTATAGTTTGTTTTAATTGAACCAAAGTGGGAACACATCCTTATTTTGTTCTACGGTCAGGCTTAAACCAACCAAGAAAACCAAAGTAAAAAAATACTCTCTCTTTGATCTTGCTTTGAAGTTTATTTTGCCACTTAACTGTATAAAACATTCACATAGATCAAATTTTTTTGAATAATTAAACACATTTAAAATAAATAAATTATATAAATAAAAGCATACAGTAGTTGACCCAAACATAAAGATTCTCACAATTTACTCACACTTATGGATATTTAAATAATGTTGGAAACCTGCAGCCACTGACATCCATAGTAGGAACAAATTACACTGTGAGTATTGCTGCCTCCCAATTCACATAATTATACTACACCCGATATGATTTTTTTGTGGAGGAAAAATATATACTATTGAGTGTGTAACAGAAGAATTTGCAAGCTTTGGGACATAATATTTCCTCATTAACAGATCATTGCGTTGCTTATTTATGAGCCCTGTCAATCATCCATATTTCTGTCATATTTAATTTCCGACCTTATTGAAGAAGCAGCAGCAGGTTAATCTTCCATTCACAAGTCTTTCATGCAGAGAAATCTCCTCAGGTCTTTGGATAATTATGCATTCAGACGATAATGACCAAACACGTCTTTATATAAGTCACAAGTATTGTTGTTGTAGTTGAAATACAACACAGACAACGCGATTGAAATATTTTCCAGACTTTAGATATTAATTTACAGTCATGCAAACATCTTTATCGAAGCCTCTCTACTTGACGGTTGGTCTCGCGCATCCATAATGTTTGTAGTTTATTTACACTTTTCACCCAGGTTTTTTAGTTCTAATCAAATTTCCCGTCCAACGTGCAGTGTACTTTGGTGTATACTACTAAGTATAGTGTATACTTTGGACAAAATCAGCAGTTAGAGTATGGACGGTTCTACTCTTAAAATTTTTACCGGAAATAGTAAACCATCCGGGAACCTTTGACATACTATTTTTAACATACTACGATTTGGGAAATACTAATTCTATTTTCAAATACTATTAAGGGCAGATAGTATCCCAATTGGAAAGCAGCATATGACTGCTGGTTTATGACAACATTCAAAGTATCTTCTTTGTGTTCAAAAAGAGAAATAAATTCATAAGTTCACTGTAAAAAAAAAAAAAGGGTTCCACACAACTCCTTCATGCTGTCCCAACACAAATTGATTAAGTTAACTTAAATCTTCTAACATATTTATGTGGATTGAACATTAAAAATTAAGAATTCTCAAGAATTGTGTTTTTTCAGCTCATTTTAAATAAGTAGCTTTTTTGAGTGTTTAAAAGCACTTGGGATTGTCATTTTTGGCTGAACTATCTCTTTAAATCTTCTGCTTTCTGTCCTTGTGTGCAGATGAGATCGCCTTCTTAGAGGGAATGACGATAGTCTACAAGAGCAGCATAGACCTGTTCTTCTATGTAGTCGGCAGCGCTCAGGAGAACGAGGTGAGTCCTGTATGCAGATGAGCTGGCATGTGATTGGCTGGAGTTATCACAGTCACTTGTTTTGCATGTGACTGTAATTCTTTCCTACTGCTATGGAGAGCTGGCCAGTTTTGGACGACGTTTGACATCGGATTCATCGACTTTTGTTTTGAAGAGGATGCAGATGCAACAAAAATGTTTCATCTCATTTCCTTTTCTGTCTCTGTCTTTCTGCTCTCTCTTCCTGTGTTTGTCTTCCAGCTCATGTTGATGGCAGTGTTGAACTGCTTGTTTGACTCTCTCAGTCAAATGTTGAGGTGAGTTCATTCTGTATGAGTATGTAAAACTAGTGTAAGAACATATACTATGTGGTTAGTGACTTGAAAGAAATATACATTTATTCAACAAGGAATCTATTATATTGATCAAAAGTGAAGTAAAGACATTTGTAATATTTCTGTTTCAAATAAATTGTTTGTTTGATGCGGGGGAAAAAAGAGTTTAGGTGGTACTTTCAACAAAAATAATTCAAAGGCATGTTTCTTGGGCAACAAATGGGTATATTACAGTGTTTTTTGATGGATTGTGTGACAATGAAAAGGTATTGACTGCTGAAAAATGTAATGTAGACATTTACGTTATTCAATCACATCAATTCATTGGAAATAAATGGATAGTTCAGCCAAAAATGTAAATTCATTCATCTTTTACTCACCCATTACTTGTCACACACCTTTATAGTTTTCTTTCTTCTGTCAAACACAAAAGAAGATATTTTTTCAACATCGTAAACCTGTAACCATTAACTTCTATAGTTTTTTTTTCTACAATGGAACCACTTTACCGGTTTTCATTTTTCTTCAAAATATATTTTTTGTTTTAAAATAACAGAAGAGAGAAATTCATGATGGTTTGGGATCACCTGAGGGTGATTAAATAGTGATAAGATTGTCATTATTTGGGTGAACTATGCCTTTAAAAATAAATCCAAATCAACCCCAAAACTTTGAGCACCAAATCGTGAGGCCAGTCTGTGTTTGATATTGATATAGTCTGTGTTTGATAAGAACAGGACATATTCACTTGGTCAAACTCAATTCCTGGAGGGCCACAGCTTTGCACCAAACTAACTGAGTGCTTCAGGATTGTTTGAAACTCACAGGTAAGTGTGTTGAAGCAGGGTTGGAACTAAACTGTGAGGTGCAGCAGCTCTCCAGGAACTGGAGTTTGACACCCTTGCACCAGTGGAATGTTTTCATAGCTTACTATTGGTGGAAATATATGATATTTGCATGTTTGTACAGCTGGAACTGAGAATGATTTCAGGTGTTGGAACACTGGCAGTTTCAAAACATTAACATAAAAGTTGATGTTAGTTGCTTTAACCTGTTAGAGTTTGTAATGATGGTGCAAATCAGGAAAAATACCTCGAGGGGTAGTTCTCATGGGACTGGCTTGGTAGCTAGTTCCTATAACCGAGAACTTATAACTGCCCATGTGTGAAAGCCCCTATTGATATCATGTGCTACTCTTGCTGCCTATAAACTTACTCGTGTATGAAATTCCAGTAGCTATTTTTGGCATCAAGCCTCCAGTGGTAACCATAGGATATGCAGCAAATAAAGTGTCACAGTAGGCCATTTGTGTGCTCAGATGTGCGGTTCTTCTCCAACAGGAAGAATGTGGAGAAAAGGACTCTGCTGGATAATATGGATGGAGTTTTCCTTGTGGTGGATGAAATCATTGATGGAGGGTAAATAATGATGTTTTGGTTACACTTTTGTTTAGAAAACAACTCATTATTATATAAAGTTGAAGGCAGAATTATTAGCCCCCCTGTTTATTTTTCCCCCAATTTCTGTTTAAGGGAGAGAAGATTTTTTTTTTACATATTTCTAAACATAATAGTTTTAATAACTCATTTCAAATAACTGATTTATTTTATCTTTGTCATGATGACAGTAAATAATATTTTACTAGATATTTTTCAAGACACTTCTATACAGCTTAGACATTTAAAGGCCTAACTAGGTTAATCAGGTTAACTAGGCAGGTAAGGATAATTAGGCAAGTTACTGTATAGCAATGTTTTTTCTGTTGGCTATCGAAAAAATGAACTTAAAGGGGCTAATAATTTTGTCCTTGAAATGGTATTTAAAAAAAAATTATAACTGCTTTTTTTCTAGCCAAAATAAAACAAAACATTATCAGACATACTCTGAAAATTTAAATTTTGTAAATATTTTAAAAAGAAGATGAAAAAAAATCAAAGGGGGGCTAATAATTCTGACTTTAATAGCATACTTAGACTTGTTATAAATGTCATTTTAATATGTGTATTGATGGATGAATGATGTTGTGTGTTATTTGTTAAAGCCACATGGGCTGTGTAGTGTTAATCTGGGCCAGGACAATCTTGTAAAAGAGATTTTTTTGTCTATATGTTGCTTTGGTGCAATAATGTGAATGAAAATATGATAATAAATAACATAAAAACAGTAAATATTGCATTTGAACTTGAATGCAAAGTTTGTCACTTTTTTGCTTGTATTTGAAACACAAATCTAACAATAATAATAACATTAGATTTTGTGTTTTCATTTGCTGTAAAAATGCATTTTCTTAGCAAAAACAAATATGATTCACATATTCATATTTTGTAAAATTGATGAATTTCTACATTCATATTTTGCTTTTTGACTTTACAGAGTGATTTTGGAGAGCGATCCACAACAGGTCATGGAAAAGGTCAACTACAGGGTAAGATTCTATAGAACCGCAAAATACCATAATATTAGGTGACTTGTATTTAGAAACATTATTTAGAGTTTTTATTTCTGATTTATTAATGAAAATTTATCTAAACAAAGCCTATAAGCTTATCAGAGTAACACTGCTGTATTTCGCTATTGAATGAATCCATTTTTGAACTAATCATTCAATGATCCATTCATAAATACAGTCACTTTTGCTTCCTTTCTGAATTATAAATCATTTGAATGAATCACTGAAGCAATCACCGACTAGCAGGGCATTTTCATAGCTGTAGAATCTGTAGAATGTTTTTTTATGAAACAAGGATTAAAACTGATACAATGTAGCAATTTTGGCTTGGTTCACAAGATTTAACAACTTAATCATCATTTTTCACATACAAGTAAACTCTAGTATGGTCGCTCATTGGTCAGATAGCAGCAGTCTATGTTCCAGAACTGATCCGATTAGACAGACCGCATCTCTTAGGAAGCTTTTATTACTTCACCATTCTTGCTCCCATTAAAAAGCCTTAATTTGCTTCAGGTTGACCAAGCATTAAATCTAAGGGTCAATAGACAAACAAACTACTACCTTTTTTTTTTTTTTTTTTAAATGCAATGTACATAATAGCTAAATTCAATTTGACTAGTTTGTCCATTCGGTCAGATTGATTTAAGACTATGTGTAAACTGCTTTAAAGTTGATTTTCAGGCCACATTATGACTGATTGTTTTGGTGTGGAGTATGATTACGGTGATCGTTTCATGTCAAAACAATCTGAATGAAGTGAGAAAATGCAACTGGTTCTCAAACCAAGAATCCATGTCAAAGCAGCCAAAGGGTCCTTCAATACACCCAGTGCAAATCAGTGACGCAAGTGTTATTTGCCAATTTCAGCATGGCGCATGTACCTTTTCACATTCAGCACATTCGGTCTCAAAAGCAGGTGTGTTAAGGCGCATTGTTGGTGTGTTGCTAATTTGAGGCAGCTCAAATAGACGGTGGCTCAGTGGTTAGCATTGTTGCCTCACAGCAAGAACGTTGTTGGGCCAGAAGGCATATCTTTTTTTTCTTTCTTTAATTCTTTTTTTGGGGTTTTCACCTTTTATTTTTGATAGGACAGTATAGATAATTGACAGGAAAGCATGGGGAGCAGAGAGAGGGGAAGGATCGGCATAGGACCGCGAGGCGGAATCGAACCCGGGTCGCCGCGAGCACCGGATTGCATGTGTCGACGCACTAACCACTACACCACTAGCACCGACGGTCAGAAGGCATATCTGTGTGGAGATTTCATATTCTTCCCATGTTCATGTGGGAGTTCCTAACCTTCCCCCACAGAATAAAGACATGTGACATAGGAGAGTGTATTAGTTGTTCCCAACCCCAGTGCTGGAAGTAATTGGCGGTTCATTGATAAATCGGTCTAAGCCTATAAGGAAAGGAAAGGAGAGTAAATGGACTGACCCACTATACACTGGTCTAAAGTCAATAGTGCAATTTTTTTTTTTTTTAGATCGAGATTATCATACTCGCCTGTAGAGGCAGACACAGGGACACTCTAACATCATAAGATGTGAACATTTTAAGAATTAAAATGTAAAAGATTATTATTGTCTATATAAAACCCATACCTCCTCCCACTCCTTCACCCCAGGGTTCTTTGGTGTAATGCATGTTACACCCATAACTCATTAAGGGAATAAGGACAATCCTTTTAGACCTTTTAGAGTTTTTACTGTCCTTAAAATAGTAAAACTGTATTCAGACATGCTGTAAGTGCCTCAGTGCCATATGCATTAGAACATGCACTTAAATCTTTAAAATAGAGCCCTTAGTGTCATTCATTAATTTATGACCGGCCTAAACCATCTGAGCTACCAGCGCCAACTTTGTTTAATTATTGATTGTTTAATTATTTGGTAATTAGTAGTAAAAATGTTTAGAAAAACGTCTAAATCCTAACATTCAATCACAATCATATATTCAGAAATATTGTCATAGCACATATAGAAAAATATAATACAGAAAATACAGAGATATCTTTTTCCCACTCTTGCGCACTTAAATATAAAAACAGTACTGCAAGTCATTTGAACGTCTAATTTTTTATCATATGACATGTAACATCACATTTTTTTTATTATTTATATTGACCTCTGCCCATTAAATCAGCTTAACAGGAGTTGCCTTTTTTTGTATGCCTGTTTATGATTCTTAAATACAATGTGAAAGACTAACAAACAGAAGATTCTACTCCATTATTCTAGAACTAATGTGTCCCTTTGGCATAAATCCACACACACACACACACAGTCTAAATGTCCATCTCTTGCCCTGTCAGTGTGTGTCGGATCAAGCGTACGCCTTCGTCCTTTTTGATTACATCACTGGGTCCACAGAGGGTCAGGGAGAGAGCCGGCAGCTCTTGTAGCTCTGCTTCAGCCCAGTGGCCCGGGCAGGTAAATGCATGGTGTGAAGGAACAGCTGTAACACCCAGCAGACCATCAATACTGAGAAAACGTCCTGCTGACATCTGACCATAAAGCTTTCACTGTCAAGTGAGAGACACTGAGACGCATCTTTGAGTTACGCTCACAAAAACTCACTCAATCAATGACTGACCTCAGTCCACACGTCTGATTTATGCTGGCCGGGGTTTTATTTTTCACTCCAGCGCAAGAGGGACGACGGTCCTCTACTAAGATCCACTTATTAAAGCATTAACTTTTTAAGTGATTAATGATGGTAAAATATGATTTTGATATAAAACAGAAGTACAAATATAAAATGTAACCACATAACTAATTGTAAATTGTACATTGTTGATATTCGTATATTTTAGTGATGGTGCTGGTTCTCTACAGTAGTCTACCAACATAAATGTATAATGTATGTTTTTATTTGTGTATTTTTATTCTAGTGCAGGGTCATCATCCAGGGATAGACTTTGTTCCACTTGGATCCATCAATAAAATAAATGATTAACTTTTAAAGAGGTTTTTAAAAAATACCTCAAACATGCAATGGGACTGTCCTTATTATTAGATTCAAGTCTAATCCTAAAGTTTTTATCTCATATTTCTTAATTTATAGGAAACAATTAATGTGTGGGGTTTTTAGTCAAATTTAAAATGTATTATCAGTGAATATTTTTACATCTTGGTTTTTATTAACTTATTTATTTATTTATTTATTTATTTATTTATTTTATTCACAGTCTCAGTTATAATAGGTCACTAAATAATTGTGTGCTGTAATATAATATAATATAACATAATACAATATAATGCAATATAATATAATATAATATAATATAATATAATATAATATAATATAATATAATATAATATAATATAATACAATATAATGCAATATAATGCAATATAATGCAATATAATATAATATAATATAATATAATATAATACAATACAATACAATACAATATAATATAATATAATATAATATAATATAATATAATATAATACAATATAATGCAATATAATATAATATAATATAATATAATATAATATAATATAATATAATATAATATAATATAATATAATACCTTTGACTCTCTTTGTGTAGTTTTTATTTTCTGTCTTCAGTCTTCATTAAATGTACCTTACTTTAAATCGACACTGAACGAACAGTGGTCCTGGTTTTTAAAAATCATTGTGATTATATTAAATACGTTTATTTTGTGATCCTATATATTACTCCAGTACAGTGGTTTGCCAATAGAGATTGTTTATCTATTTATTTATCTCATCACAAGCAAAAACCCTTTATGGTTTTTTTGTCACAAGGGAGATCATCAGGAGAGAAAGCCTTACTAAATAATTAAACAAGGCCACATTAATGTATATGCAGTACTTTTAAAAAATAGTTCATGTTTTAGTAGTAGTGAAATAGCAGTGTTTTGTCATTTAGTACATTTTAGAATAGCCATTCATAATATCTAGACAAATTGATGAATAAAAATAGTACAAAAAAACGTAATGCTGATAAACGCAATCTAATGCATACTGCTTACTGTACAAAAGAAATTGTGATGGCACAATAACACTGTTCTTAACAGAGCAAACTGTCTTTATAATTGGCCATAATTAATAATGTCAAATCATTTGTTATTAGCTTCTGCTTTTTGTTTGTTTGTTTATTGGCTCGTTAATGGTGTTTAAAGACAATGTTGTACTGTGTTGTTATTCTTTGTTACCCTTGTTGCTAACTTTGACTAATTTGCACAGTAACACTTAACACATTTTGTGTCACATACTGCACAATAAATCTGTCTTGTTTTTGTTGTTTCTTTTTTATATTGATCGTTCTTGATGTTGGTTCTTTCACAGGCAGATGACAACCCTCTATCAGAACAGAGTGTGGCGCAGGTACACACACACACACACACAAACACACACACACACACACACACACACACACACACACTTACAATTAGGCTTGAAAGGTTTCTTGCTTCTTTAATGTGAATGATTTTAAAGCTTTGTTTAGACTTGTTTGGCTTTCTGTCTAACCATCATTAATGGCTGTAGTGATTTTAGTTCTGCTCTGACCTCTTACACCAACTCTAACCCTAACAGCACATCACTGAGAAACTGGCTCTCACCACTAATGTAAGTGCATGAACAAATAACAAATAGACGTGCGTTTGTGTGTGTGCGCGCATGCGTGCGTGCGTGTGTTTGTGTGTGTGCTTTAAAGCTCTTAAAAATCTCTTTAAACTTAACACTAAAAAAGGACTTTTATTTAAGGTTTACATTGCAATCCAATTAGATTGACTTGTTTGGTAAATAATGTAAATCTCATATAATACATACACTAGACAATAAATATTTCTTTATGAATGGTATTGTATTATAATAATAGTAATAATATCACTGACATTAATATAGAAAATTGAATAAATACATTTACATCTACATAAGTAAATAAATGGATTGAATGATAGACTCAATGATCTGGCAGATTCTGTGTCGGCCTACTTAAAAATTAACTTAAATGATAAATTTGTATGTTTAAAAAAAGATTATACTGTTACACTTATGTTTCATATCAACATACCCTGATATACAGTGCAGTGTACACCACGCATGTTGTACTGAGCATTGCTATATTTGATCAATTTGCCTAGAATATCTTTAAACTAACCATTGTATATATTTTAACATGCACTGTAAAAATGCTGGCTTCCACACAATCGATTTGTGTTGGGACAACATAAAGGAATTAAGTTAACTTAGTTTTTATAAATTTAGGTGGATAATAAATAAGTTTTCCCCAAAAAGAAAGACTGGAAATTCCATTTATGTTCATTGTTTTTTTTTTAATTGCAACCATTTGTTTGTCTTTTATGCCAAAACGTTTGAGCTTTTATGCAGTCTATAATTCTCAAAACAGTGAAAGCTCTATTTTATTTTATTTCATTTTATTTTCATTTTGGTCTATTCTGTTCTAATTTGGCCTATTCTATTCTATTCTATTCTATTCTATTCTATTCTATTCTATTCTAAAGGACAGAACCGCTCATTAAAATCGAAGAAACTAGTTTTCCGTTTAATATTGTGGTCTTCAGATGCCCCCTTGTGGCCGAAGTATGAATTGTTAACATCATTAAACCGTTTCACTTCACCCAGATGTTAAATATGCTGATCACGTTTTAAAATATGGACAATATCTTTATTAATCTAATGGCTGAGTTTGTCAATATTTTACACAAAATTGTGTTAAAAAAACAGCATTTGTTTTGTTTTTTTACCATGCAGGTCAATTAACTTTTTTTCTTCGTTTTTTTTTTTTTTTTTTTGCTGTAACCATTGTGATTCATAAAAACACATGTTACTTTGAGAGTCAAATGTTTGTTGAGAGCCAGACAATGCTTGTTTTATGAATCGTCAAAGTTTTAGCTAAAATCTTCTTCTGTAGAGGATACTAAATAAATAAGTCACCTTACTCTTGTAAGGCCTGGGTAAATTATTAGCATTTTCATATTTCATATTAATATTAATATTTCGTATTTCACACACTTCATTATTGCACTATTGTGGTTATTATGCTTGTTTTTTATTTTAAGATACATTTATTATATTCTAATTATGTTAAATAAATACATATTAAATACAAGACATATTAGATGAATATCATTTTACATAGCACATTATATTGCATTTTAAATTGTTTTTTTTTTAAACATATATTTATTTCTCTTTGGTCTAATAAAGCTTATCAATCTTGTTTACTGAAACTCTTTTTTTTTTCTTTCGTTTTTTAGGTGTTACAGTCGGCAAAGGAGCAGATCAAGTGGTCAATTCTAAAATAAGTTTGAAACACAAACTTCCCCTGACTTGAAAGAATCTGTAAATAATTGAAAGGGATTTTCATTGTTATTTTGAATGAGATGTAATTTAATTATTGAAGTAGCACGTAAGGGGCACTTGTGTCTCAGGTTTCATATAAGATATTTATATTTTGTGTCAGAGTAAATTAGGTCATTTCTGCTTTAGGTTTTTTTTTTTTTTTATTAAATGCAAAGGTATATTCACTAACAGCTACACATATGCTTGAATTTGTCCAAAGAAGTTGCAATTTCGTTGTTTCTAAACATTTGCAAATATTGATAGGCCTACAGCTGTGGTGTTTGGAGGTTATAAGTTTATTAAGCATTGGGTTGTGATTTTTTTTATGATCACAAATATGATTGTATAAACCTCTTGTTTAATCCTTTGTCATTTTGTTATAAGTCAACATTGCTTTTACCTTTTGTCAAAAATGTTATACACAAATCAGAGTTCTGCCTACAACCTTAATATTAGCAATTTTTCTTAAAATGAGAAACAGGCAATATTAAAAATTTACTAGAAGCATTATTATTATTATTATTATTATTATTATTATTATTATTATTATTATTATTATTATTATTATCATCATCATCATCATCATCATCATGGCGATGCAGTGGCCCAGTAGGTAGTGCTGTCGTCTCACAGTAAGAAGGTCGCTGGGTCGAACCTCGTCTCAGTTGGCGTTTCTGTGTGGAGTTTGCATGTTCTCCCTGCGTTCGCCTGGGTTTCCTTCGGGTGCTCCAGGTTCCCCACAGTCCAAAGACATGCGGTACAGGTGAATTGGGTAGGCTAAATTGCGTGCGTGTGTGTGTGTGTGTGTGTGTGTGTGTGTGTGTGTGTGTGTGTGTGTGTGTGTGTGTGTGTGTGGGTGTGTGTGTGTGTGTGTGGGGGTTTGTGTGTGGATGTTTCCCAGAGATGGGTTGCGACTGGAAGGGCATCCGCTGCGTAAAAACGTGCTGGATAAGTTGGCGGTTCATTCCGCTGTCGCGACCCCGGATTATTAAAGGGACTTAAGACAAGAAAATGAATGAATTATTATTAGCTATATACTCCATTGTAATATTTAAGGCAACACTGTAAAAAATATATGATCAATTAGTCCTGACAGCAAATGTTTTTAGTTTGTTCTAACTTATTAAACTAAGTTAATCATGTTCTAACTAAATTTTATACGTTACGCAAGCTGTTTAGGTCAGTTTAACATAATACAAGTTCAAACTCACACGGTTAATTTGATTCAACTTAAAAATTAAGGCAACTAGGGCGTTTTTCAGTGAAAACACTAGCCTACGTGTAATACAGTTATGAAAAAATTAAAGTATATGGCATTTTAAGTAAAATAAAAGTCTTTGGCGATACAAACTGACAAAACATTTGCATAAAAACAAGAATATTTGCTAGAATTTTCTCTAGTGAAATAAACTATTTATATGCCCTGGATTTGTTTATTTTCTTTAAACCATGGTTTCTGGAAACTTATTGTGAACGAAAGTGTTATTACAAACTAATAAATGTGTTTTATAGCATTTGTTTGGTCCTTTGTGTCTATTTGAGTTTGTACTACAAGCCCGACAGCTTTGCTGCTTGTTTTAGAATTAAAGGGGCCGACGTGTTGACCTTCGGCCGACGTCGGCCCAACGTATGTGTGCTGTCTGGGTATTGGTGAGAGAATAGTTACTGTGAACCAATCATATTGTTCCCTCATTAATATTCTGCATAGATTTTCATATATTTAGTGTTAATCTCGAGAGGGTGTGGCTAGGTCTGTCATTGGTCACTGAGGGCCAATGACATTTTCAAAGCCGAGTCTCCACCTCCATGACCAAATGAATGGGCGTCTACTGTTGAGTCTTCAAAAAGTGATTGGTCACAATCCATAAAGGTGGGTGGAGACTTATAAAATATGGTTTTAAACAGGAGCGTTCAGTAGCCAATCATATTTAACTCTTTCTGTTCGGAATTCATCAATACAGACAGTCGGTGCCTGTCGAAGCAGATCTGCACTGATTATTTATCCAGATCAAGTAGAACTAGTTGTATTTATTTAAAGTCTTGTAATAGATATATGGGTTATTTTCTGTTTAAAACAAGCTACAGACAAGGTTAATAGTTATTATAGTTTTAATAGCAACCGACTAACATTAATCAAATAGTCGTTTTAATTGGGCTACATTTTGTACATTTAAATTTTCAAAGAGGGCATTTCATTTTTTTCTTTTTTGAAATTTTAGAATATACAAGAGCGACACTGTAACAAATAAATTACAATTATTTAGTCAAGAGCGACACTTTAACAAATATCTGACAAATTATTAAGTCAAGTAGAGCGACACTGTAACAAATATCTGTCAACGAACAGTTTTAGAGTCAACAAGAGCTACACTGTTACAACAAAGTAACACTTTTCTTAAAAGTTACATTTTCGAACTTTTCAATGTTAAAAGTTGCTGAAAGAAAGCTAAAGCTCACATAATGCAATTCAAAAGCATAAATAAATGGAGAAAAACAGGAATCTTAAAATACGCAAAACTGCTAATTTAAGAATATTTTAAAGTGTAGGCTTTACGATTAAAATAATAACGAATAATGATTTAGCCGATACATTAGGCTATACTGATTACAAGTTTGATACCGTTAACAATTTACAAAATCAGTATTTTTAACATCATTGTTTATATAGTAGTTAACCACCTATTCTGTAATATGTGGCAATACGTGGTGTAATGATAAAGGTGATGAATAGGCCTATAGCTTAATAATAGCCTAGCTGATAATTAGTAAAGGGAAAATAATTTCCAAATTAAAGAAAAAAATAAAATGAATTAAAGTTGGTTGTGTTGAAAAAAAATTGTTGGAGCATATAGCATTGAATTATTTGAGGTGAAATCGCTGGGGAAGCAGTAGATTCCTGCTTGTTTATATAATAATTTCATTATTTAAAAAATGGGTAAAGTGCATGCGGTGTTAGAAAAAAACCAAAACAAATATGCAAAAAAAATTGTGGCATGGTAATCATCTGTTTATAAGCATAATGCTTTAAACGGAGGAAATTAAATTAATCATAATAAGCCTATTTCCAATCGCATATATATATATATATATATATATATATATATATATATATATATATATATATATATATATATATATATAAAGACAATAAAGATACTAAATTATGTTAGACTATTATCTCAGAAATATCTTCATAGGCAGATCTATGTTTCTATAGGCTATGAGTTTGAAGCTTCCACATAGTGGATGTCATGACCGTTTTATTTTTATAACGTCGTTTTATTTTTGTATTTATTTCGGCTACAAACAATTGTGAAACATGCTAACAGAGATAGCAGTACTGGATAGAGGGATGTGTCGTGAACAGATGTGTAGGTTGATAAGCTCTGGTGCTGACTGGTTACATTCTTACAGCCTTTTCATATCTGTGTTTGTTCTCTTGCCGTTAGCTTTTTCCCTTTCATCTCCCACTTCTTGTGTTTAGTTTATGCATATAAGCTACCTGACCCATAGCCTATCGATGTGCCTTCACCATTCTACTTACTTCTTTATATACAAAAGCAACAGTATATATATATATATATATATATATATATATATATATATATATATATATATATAATAAAAAAATGAAATTACATTCTTATGTAAAACCCATAGCTTTCTAACAGTCAGCTCTAATTATAAAAACACTGATATTATTAACACTAAGTTTGTTCATTTCAACTGTTAGATGATTAAATTAAACTGCAGTTAGGTTAATATTGATTATAATACATTTTATGACAAAAATATAACTGTTAAAGTTAGTTAATTTTGGCTAGTTTTACCATTTATTCAAACTTACGTTGTAAATATTATCAAAAAACAGTATTTTATTTTGTCTTTATGTATTTATGTAAATGTACTCTATGTTTTTATAATTATTTTATAATATAATTTTGCCTATTATATTTTATATAATATTTTATTAGGCTACTTTAATTCATTTTAATGAGTTTGTTTCCGTAATATTGTGTTCATTTAGCTTCATAAAATGCTTATTTATAAAATGTTATTTATTTTAAATAAATGTATTAATTCAGTTATTAATTATTTAATTTTATTATCTCCTTTATGGTATTAATCTGAAATAAACTTTAAAAACTGGTATAGTGCAAAAAAGAAGAGCTAATTAAAACATCTATTGCCTTTATTTTCTTAAATATGTAGTTCAGTGGCAATGAGAGAAAATGCACGAATTAGCTGATGTGAAAAGTTGGACTTCCACTGTATGTGACCAATGACCGCCTCCACAAGGACCTTAAATATCTTAAATATATCGTTCATTCCAAAAAAATAATGACTAATGCAGGATTGGGATGTGTCTGTCGCACTAATAGCTCCATCTAGTGGACAAACGGAAATCTACATATCCTCTTGAAAAATACAATTTGCTGACTACATAAGGGAGACACCTATGGGCAAATTAAATTGATCTTAAAATGAGACCAGATAATATGTTCTTTTTTAATCAAAGGTGACTTGTCTAGGTTTACATGTAAAATAAATAAATAAATAAATAAATAAATAAATAATCTTGCACAGAGAGACTAGTTACTTCAGCTCATAGCCAGGACGATGAGAAACCAAGCCATCCTCCTAAACATGGATGTGTCTTGATCACTCGCAGAATTCCATCATTTGTAGCCTCATATGTTTCCTGTGCGTGATTATACAGAGAGGTCAAACTGCGAGCGCGGGACACACGTGTCGTAGCATCTTCTCATCCCCAGGAAGTGTGTTTTTTAGAGAGTAGCGGGTGTTAATAGATTTCAGACCGTTCGCAGCTGCTCGCAAAAAGCGCTTCAAAGTGCTCAATTGCCTGATGAAAGAGCGTCACGTCATCTGTCACGGGTCTCTTCGTGGGACAGAGACACGCGACGTCGCCAAAATCAGCCCTCCGCGAGGTCATGATGACTGCACGCACACTTCCTCAAAGACTTCACCATGGTAAAATTTCAACACATATTTCTGATTTTTACCATGCGACTGTTTTGCCAACAGTATTTACGCGTTAAATGATAAATGACATGACAGGTTTGGGTTAAACTGAATTCAAAAGACACCTTTTAATTCAACTGTTTGGATTTGTCCATGTTTGGCCAAATGTTGTTGGGTTACAACAACCCAACATTTTTAAGCAAGTATTCTGAAGCTCCATATTGATTGACAAAAAAGTAGAACTAGGCATTACACAGCTTTCAATCAAGTCATCTGCACACTGTGAGGAAAGTGGGTGTAAAGAGTAGTTTCAAAGGTTTATATAGGATCCATATTGGTACCTTAAAGGTGCATATAAGGTACTGAAAGTAAAGATGTTAGTAAAAGGTATAAAAGTATAACTTTTAAAAAGCTGGATAGATTTGTAGTTGTTTTTTTTTCATTGAAGGCATTTCTTTTTCGCCAAAAGCTGCAGTGATTAAAGGCAAATACTGGCCATGTCATGTCTAGATTGATATCCTAATTAAGTAATCCCAACTTTATAACCTGTAATTTACCTGAACTATATACTAGTCAACATTTGAAGTGGATCATTCATCAGACTTGTCCTAAAACTACTGAACATTTGTTCAATTCATTTTGGTTTATTTCTGTAGCGCTTTTACAATGTAGATTGTGTCAAAGCAGCTTAACATAGAAGTTCTATTAAATTGAAACTGTCAATCCAGTTTTCAGAGTTACAGTTTAGTTCAGTTCAGTTCAGTTCAGTGTGGTTTAATTTTCACTGCTGAAAGTCCAAACACTGAAGAGCAAATTCATTAATGCGCAGCTCCACAAGTCCCAAACCAAGCAAGTCAGTGGCGAGGAAAAAAACTTCACCTATTGATTAAAGTGAAGCTTGATAAACTTATTGCTCTGGCATATAATATCTTTTATCAATATAATTCTGTCAACTCGCCTAACATTTTTTTCCTAACTCATATTTACACTTTAGCACTTGTTAATTAAAAAAAAATAATAATTCATAGAGAGGGGCGATGCAGTGGGTAGCATGTTCGCCTTACAGCAAAAAGGTCACTGGATCGAGCCTCAGCTGGGTCATTTAACAGTTCTGTGTGGAGTTTGCATGTTCTTCCCGTGTTCGTGTGGATTTCCTCCGGGTGCTCCGGTTTCCCCCACAAGTCCAAAGACATGTGGTACAGGTGAATAAAGTATGCTAAAATTGACCATAGTGTATGAGTGTGTGTGTAAATGAGTGTGTATGTTTCCCCGTGATGGGTTGCAGCTGGAAGGACTTCCGCTGTGTAAAAAATCATCTGCTGTATAAGTTGGCAGTGAATAATATATATTAAATATACTTAAAACTATAGGCTAACGAATAAAAGACATACACACACTGTTTTGGTTCCTGTGAGGAAAACAGATTATAAATCACATAAAATAAAGTAAGTAGAAAATGTAAAAATGCAGATTGTTTCCTGTAAGGGTTGTGTTTTAGGGGTAGCATTGAAGTAATACAGGATAAAATCA